TTTTTTTTTTTTTTTCTTCTAAATTGCAATACATCACAACCTATTGGCCTGTATGGATGCCCAATATAGTGACTGGCCAATAGGAAGAGGAAGTTGGGGGCAGTCCAGAAGCAAGCTTTAACAGCAAATGTGATGTATTAAAGTGGCAGTCGTTTTGGGGTTCTTGGTATTGACTGGTTAGAGATACAGCGGGTATAGAAAAGAATCGCCCCCCCCCCCCTTTAAAAATAATCACATTTTTGTTTCTTTGCATCCTGAAATAAAGACAGACATGGATTTTGTTTTTTAAATATATATAATGTGAAACTCAAAAAATTAGAATATCGTGCAAAGGTTCATTTATTTCAGTAATGCAACTTAAAAGGTGAAACTAATATATGAGATAGACTCATTACATGCAAAGCAAGATAGTTCAAGCCGTGATTTGTCATAATTGTGATGATTATGGCTTACAGCTCATGAAACCCCAAATCCACAATCTCAGAAAATTAGAATATTACATGCAATCAATAAAACAAGGATTGTACATAGAACAATATCAGACCTCTGAAAAGTATAAGCATGCATATGTACTCAGTACTTGGTTTGGGCCCCTTTTGCAGCAATTACTGCCTCAATGCGGCGTGGCATGGAAGCTATCAGCCTGTGGCACTGCTGAGGTGTTATGGAAGACCAGGATGCTTCAATAGCGGCCTTCAGCTCTTCTGCATTTGTTCGGTCTCATGTCTCTCATCTTTCTCTTGGCAATGCCCCATAGATTCTCTATGGGGTTCAGGTCAGGCGAGTTTGCTGGCCAATCAAGCACAGTAATCCCACGGTCATTAAACCAGGTTTTGGTGCTTTTGGCAGTGTGGGCAGGTGCCAAGTCCTGCTGGAAAATGAAGTCGGCATCCCCATAAAACTCATCTGTGGAAGGAAGCATGAAGTGCTCCAAAATCTCCTGGTAGACGGCTGCGTTGACCCTGGACTTAATGAAGCACAGTGGACCAACACCAGCAGATGACATGGCTCCCCAAATCAACACAGACTGTGGAAACTTCACACTGGACTTCAAGCATCTTGCAGTGTGTGCCTCTCCATTCTTCCTCCATACTCGGGGTCCTTGTGCCTCTCCATTCTTCCTCCATACTCTGGGTCCTTGGTTTCCAAATGAGATGCAAACGTTGCTCTCATCAGAAAAGAGGACTTTTGACCACTGAGCAACAGACCAGGTCTGTTTTTCTTTAGCCCAGATAAGACGCTTCTGACGTTGTTTGTTGTTCAGGAGCAGCCTGACAAGGAATACAACATTTGAAGCCCATGTCCAGGATCCGTCTGTGTGTGGTGGCTCTTGATGCACTGACTCCAGCCTCAGTCCACTCCTTGTGAAAGTCCCCAACACTTTTGAATGGCCTTTTCCTGACAATCCTGTCCAGGCTGCGGTCATCCCTGCTGCTTGTGCACCTTTTTCTTCCACACTTTTCCCATCCACATAACTTTATATTAATGTGCTTTGATACAGCACTTTGGGAACATCCAACTTCTTTTGCAATTACCTTTTGAGGCTTTCCCTCCTTATGGAGTGTGTCAATGATGGTTTTCTGCACAACTGTCAGGTCAGCAGTCTTTCCCATGATTGTGATTCCTACTGAACCAGACTGAGAGACCATTTAAAGGCTCAGGAACCCTTTGCAGGTGTTATGGTGTAATTAGCTGATTAGAGTGGGACACTTTGAGCCGTAAATATTGCACCTTTTCACAATATTCTCATTTCCTGAGATTGTGGATTTGGGGTTTTCATGAGCTGTAAGCCATAATCATCACAATTATGACAAATCACGGCTTGAACTATCTTGCTTTGCATGTAATGAGTCTCTCTCATATATTAGTTTCACCTTTTAAGTTGCATTACTGAAATAAATGAACTTTTGCACGATATTCTAATTTTGTGTGTATGTGTGTGTTTATAGTAAGTATAGGAAGAGAATATAATGTAACTTGTAAACACAGATCAGTGGGAGCCTGTGTGTTGGAGGAGGACTTCTTTTACACCAAATAAAATTTCATATTCGACTAGAATAAGTTGGAAATATTTAGCAGTTTTCCACAAATGGTTCAGAAGGAAGATCTGCAGCTCTCTAAATAAAAAAAATTTAAAGCTTTGAAAAGTGACTCGCTCTTCAGAAATAAAGAATATCTATGTAGTGGGGACATGGATAGGAGTCTACAGGAATATAGGTTACAAGTAGGACCTTGCCCTGGACATAGCCTGAGGGGCCTCTGTGGTTGCTACAGGAAGGTACGCTTCCAGTTTGAAGATTTCAGTTTAAAGAGACCCTGTTACCAGTGTAAATAATTGCAGGTAAAAGCCCCAAAAAATCAAGTATTTTCAATGATTGCCTTTTGAACTTGCTAGAAAAATGTGACTTCCAGGAAGGATTAAAATTAAGCTCCCTTCATCCTTGCCATTGTCATTCTCTTCTTTTCTGGGACTGTCTGTGCTGGCCCAGCATCTCTGCTCCTCACCTCCCTATGTTGCCTTTTTATATAGCTGCTGGGGGAGGAGTGAAGGGAAATACCATAGAGTGTCACTTGAGTGACAGATCTGAGTCTGCTGGATCTGCTGACATTGAATCTGAGATGGTGTCATGCAGCAGCACTCTCAGGGCTTTTGGGATATCCACACTGTAGAGGCTTTTACAGGTAAATAACATGTATAAAATAAATGAAATGCACATACTGTATAATCTTAGGGGGAAATTGAAATGAATGTGACGGGGTCTGCTTGCCCACCCCTGATGGGTGCCTATCCTGGGACTTGTAAGGGAAAATGTCACCAGCACACTGAGGATCACCATTATGGGTGCAAATGTTTTAATGAATGATCACAGTTACAGCAAGGCAACGTTTCGGATGCCTGATGAAGGGGTCCTGCGAGACTCCGAAACGTTGCCTTGCTGTAACTATGTGATCGTTTATTATTAAAACTTTTGGACCCATATTGGTGATCCTCAGTGTGCTGGTGACATTTTCCCTTGCCGATTCTGTTCAGTTCCAGCCGAAAGTCGCTGCAGCACCCACTTACACAAACACACCCCCATTTTTAACGCAGGAACGTGTGCGTTTGGATTGTACACTTGTATCCTGGGACATGTAGCACAGAATCCTATAACAGACAAGCAGCTTTCACCTTTCATCAACTTCGTGCCTAACAATCATTGTCTAATATACGCACATCCAAAAGAGGTGGGGGAGAGTGGCGGGAAGTGAAAAATGTAATGGGTCATGTCATTCGCCAGCGGTCGCTTTGACAAACAAAAACTGACGCACCCCTAGGTGACCAAATTCTTGAACCCATGGTAATTCACTGCATGGCTGCGGGGGGGGTGGTTTGATGGCTGATAAATGTCTCTGATTCCTATTTAAAAAAGAAAAAAAAAAAAGATTCCAGTCCGGGTCATATTGGTGTTGGTAAAGGGATTTTAGTTTTTTGTTCTAGCTGAACAAGACTCACTATACCGGACTGGGGAGGGGATCCCTTCATGGTATGTGAACATTTCCTACGTCTGTTGTGAGCAGACCTGCCGGAGAAATTCTATACCCACCCAGCGCTGTCATTGTTCAGCTGTACAGGTATAGGCGATGACACTCCCATTCACCTTGCAGCTTCAGTATTTCTAGATAACTAGTTGAACATTATGGACGTTTTATTCAGCTATGTCACTCTTTTATTTTTTGTAGCTATTATTTAGCAGCGCTACATCACTTATTTATTTTTTATTATAAATATAGACTTTTTTTTTTTTTTTTTTTTTTCTTCTTATACTTTGGTGTACAGTAGAGGTTTGTAATACTAAATTCTCAGTCTACCTATAACTTGATACTTTAGATGTACGTGTTAATACTAGCATCTTGCAATACCAAAAAAAAAAAAAAAAAAAATATAAATCTGTAGTTAGAGGCTGGCATCGGGGATATCTCCTAAATTGGGGGTACTGAATTAAAATTCACGGAGGTCCGGTTTGTAACATTTTCTTTCTGCAGAAGTCTGAATAATTTTTTTTCTTCTATGACTCAGGTTCTTCACATCAGTCCCCTCTACATTAGTATCCTCAATTCTCCCCCCCCCCCCCTTACATCACAACCCCCTTTCACATCAGAGCCCCTCAACATTACAGTCCTCCTTGGAATCACAGACCCTTCATATCACTGCTCCCTCCTCTCACATCATAGCCTGCCCATCTGAAAGCTCCCTCTCTCACATCACAACTCCCCTACCTTATCACAGCCCACGCATCACAGCTTCGCCCCCTAACATCACAGCCCCCCATTTCACAGCTCCCCTTTCACAGTACTCAGGTGGGAGGAATGGCAGGGTGGACTCCTTTTCTGAATGTGCTCTCCTGCCGCCGCCACCGTTCTCACTGCAGGGAAGACGGCAGAAGGCAAGGAAGATCTCTACTGAGGAGCTGCCCAACTCTTCTTGTTAAAAAGCGAGCGACTTGCTTGTTAATATGAAAGGTTGGGCATCTCCCGCTCCCCCTGTAGACCTATAGTATCTCCCACCCTCCTCAGTTCAGCGGCATTAGGCGAGTACATTCAGAGGAGGAGTCCACACTGCGTTCCTCCTGCCCTCTACAACACTGTGCTATTTTAACACATGCAGCGGTGAGAGGAGTCCATTCAGTCGCTGCTAAGTGGTGCAGCTTTGGTCCGAACAGGACTGTCACTCGGTCCGTGTCCAGACCATGGTCCGTGTCCAGACCATGGTCCGCCATTTAGTGACGCCTGTCCTAAATGTTAGTTTACTGGCTGTTATGTTTAAGGTCAAACTCTGGACTTTCACAACTTTCACTTTTGGCACAAATGATAAAAATGTACTTTGTGTGCACCAAATGGTTAATGTGGGCCAGTATTAGAAAATTCATATTTTAGGTGCTTATGTGAAAAATGTGCAATCCTGATTTTGAGCCAGACATTAATACATATTTCATTGTTGTTGTTTTTTTTTTTCTATCCAGTTTGCACCACCTCCTGGTGGATACCCACAACAAGATCCTATGTATGGCTACTTTGTACAAGTTGCAGGCCAGGTGAGTTTATTCTTGCACCACCCCATGGATGTGACATTTCCATTATCCTAGAAAATAAATCCTTCCGTCTGAAGAGTGATCTAATCAGATGTCTCAGGCTGATGAGCTTATAATGGCTTAGACTGGTATTTTTGGCAGAATTTGTGGCCATATTTTGACAAAATACACTGCTCAAAAAAATGAAAGGAACACTTTTTAATCAGAGTATAGCATCAAGTCAGTTACACTTCTGGGATATTGATCTGGTCATTTAAGTAGCAAAGGGGGTTGTTGATCAGTTTCAGCTGCTTTGGTGTTAATGAAATTAACAACAGGCGCACTAGATGGTCAACAATGAGATGACCCCCAAAACAGGAATGGTTTTACAGGTGGAGGCACTGGCATTTTTTTTTCCTACTCATCTTTTCTGACTGTTTTAAATTAGTTTTGCATTTGGCTAATGTCAGTGTCACTACTGGTAGCATGAGGCCACACCTGAACCTCTCAGAGGTTGCAGAGGCAGTTCAACTCCTCCTGGATGGCACATCAATACGTAGCATTGCCAGAAGGTTTGCTGTGTCTCCCAGCACAGTCTCAAGAGCATGGAGGAGATTCCGGGAGACCCTAGGAGAGCTGGACAGGGCCGTAGAAGGTCCTTAACCCATCAGAACCGGTATTTGCTCCTTTGTGCACTTTGTGGATGAGCACTGCTAGAGCCCTACAAAATGACCTCCAGCAGGCCACTGGTGTGAATGTATCTGACCAAACAATCAGAAACAGACTTCCTGAGGGCCCGATGTCCTCTAGTGGGCCCTGTGCTCACTGCCTGCCTGGCTTGATTGGCCCATGTTGCTTTTCACAGATGAGCAGGTTCACCCTGAGCACATGTGAAAGGGTCTGGAGAAGCCGTGGAGAACATTATGCTGCCTGTAATGAGAGAGAGAGAGAACTTTGCCTTTATTTTTTTGTTATTTATGTCATAAGTGTAAAAAAGATCAACAAAAAAAATATTGATCCTGTTAGAAATCCAGTGCTGCCCTGTGCACTCTGCAGTATTATCTCAGAATCTCAAGTAGTCCTTTTCAGGTTACATTGGAACTACAGATGCCAACCCCCCCATGTTATGAAGGGAGAGGTGTTCTGTAGTCCTTAAACACTTCCTGTCCTAGAGTGACAACTTCTTCGTCTCCACTGCTAGTGAGTGTTGTCACCCTAGGGCATGAAGTGTCACTTGCAGATTGTCAGGTAGAAAAAGAAAACTAGCACAGCCACCACATCACCACCACGTAAGCTACATGGTTAGCACATTCACCTCACAGCACTAGAGTTGTCTGTTCAGATCTCAACCACAGCACTACCTGGAGCTGGCATGTTCTCCCTGTGCCTGCATGGATTTCCTGAGGGTATTCTGGTTTCCTCCTACACTCCAAATAAACATGCTGGTTAGTTATTTGGCTCCTGTCTAAGTTGGCCCTAGTATTTGTGTGTATGAATGTTAGTTCCTTTAGTGACCTTAGATTGTATGCTCCTTAAGGGCAGGGATTGATGTGTGTGTAATAAATATATATAATAAAAATATAAATCACTGTGTAAATTGTTGCCATTCTATAAATACCTGTAATAAATAAAGACGTACCGGTATGCTGCAATATACTATTTTTTTTTTTTTCTTTGGATTGGATAACACTATAAAAGTGTAGTTATTTTGCAGAATAGTGGTGTGACCATTTATTGTTCTCTTGCAGGATGGACAGATAGATGCTGAAGAGCTGCAGAGATGTCTCACACAATATGGCATGTCTGGAACATACAAACGTAAGGGGATTTTATTCTGCATGGTGATACCTGTCTGACAGGGGTGCAGTTCACTGCAAATGAACACCCACTAATGCAAAGTGAAATTTCCCATACCAGTCAATCAGAACTTGCGCCTTCTACATGAATATGCACATTGCACAGCACCTATGTAATGGGGTGACGCACAATCTATCACAGAGACCCATTTATACGAGGGGAGCAATAATGTTATAGCCACATGTAGTTAAATTGGGCTGATTTCAAGAGAATCTGTGAATAGAAGACCCGGGACTGTAGAAATAATCGCTGCATTTTTATTATGTTTACATAGCCATGGCTCAGATTGATTTGTGATCAGGCGCACAATGTAGATATTGGCAACAAATAAACTGCATCTATTTAAACATAGAGTTGATTTGTTGCCAATTTCAACAAAGTAGTAAATAGTACCATCCGAGGCAGGCTCATCAATTTCACTGCTTGACATGGGTGTCCTGGCCTCATCAGATGCCTGATGAGGAGTCCTGTGTGGCCTTGAAATATTGCACTTATTGTGATGTGATCTCGTCAATAAATATTTGGACTATAGTTTATGAATCCACGATGTGCTAATGCTCTTCCCCTGGCCAAAAGGGGTCTATCCTAACACAAAATCTGCACATCAATACAGGAAAAGCCACATCACCTCCACATCCCCCCCTTTTTTTTTTTTTTTTTTTTTTCTTTTTTTTTTTTTTCACAATGAGCAATGCATTACATGTGACACCATCTATCAAAACCTGCTGCTGCTCCTCTTTTTCCAATGCATTTACCCTGAGAGAGGCTTAACCATAGAATATATTTCTATGGACATGTGACCCGTGATTCCTATAATTAAACCTAGCATAAGATATCTTTCACTATCCCTAATCAATAATAATGATTGCTACTGCATCAATCAAGAGAACCTGCACATAATGTAGCTACATTCAGAAGCTTGCATGTAGGGGTGGCTCCAGAGAGACTCTACAAGCCATCAGAGCCACCCCATAGGCATAAGTGTACATTGCCAGATTTTCATGGTCCTCCTGCAGAATAGATGGTCCTGAGAAGGAACGCCTTCAGTAGCCAGCAAAAAATGTAAATATAGCTAAAATTATAATTTAATATCTCATTGTTTTAAAAACTCTAAAGTCCTCATGCACACTGATCGTTTATACAGCTGATGATTTTAGCTTTTGAATTTTTTTTTTTTTTTTTTTCTACAGCTAATAAATCCCCCAGCATGTTATCCTATGTGTCCATGCACACATAGACTGTAATGGACCTTTTTATTTTGGCTGGAAAAAAATCCAAGACTAGTGGGTTTCTAGAGGAGTTTTTTAGCTGTAAAACGCTGCAAACCAAAGTTTTTGGATGTTTTTTTGACCCCCCCCCCCCCCAAAAAAAAAAGTTTTTTTTTTTTCTTTTTGGTAAAAAAAATGCGGGTAAATGCTAATGCAAAAAACGCTAAAAAACTCATGTTTTTAATGTGACTTTACACAGCTAACATTACCAGCATTATTAAAACACCAGTGTGCATGGAGCCTGAAAGGGTTTCATTTCACCAGACTTCACTGTGCATCATTTCTGTCTGTCCACTGCGGCTCTACAGAAAGTGTCTGATTTCCAGGTCAAATTCCTGTTACTGCCTTGTTTTCATTATGTGAACCTTATTATATTGTTTTCTGTCTTTGCAGCCTTTAACCTGGAAACCTGTAGACTGATGATTTCCATGTTGGATGTATCCTTCTTGTTATCTAATTATTAGTTTGTCCCTTTCTTATGTTAGACTTCAGTTGCCACACCGCACCCCGATGCAGCATTACCATGTAAACAGGGCAAATAGAAAATAATTTTTACATTGAGCAGTGATCAACCGAGATAGTGTGGACGAGCCCTAAGTACCCTCCGCAATCAGTTTTGCATTGGCTTCTCTTTAGCCCTTAAGTTGCAAATATTCCACTCCATATCACTTCCATCTTTAATCTGCTCAGGTCTGCTAAGTTCCTGAAATTCTGTTTGTGAATGTTATAATGCAGAACTGTACCAAGATACGACTTTCATTCAATCTATTTGTGTTTATTAAAAATGGTACATCCGTCTGTATTTATATTGGCTTCCTGTAACATTACACATAGCAGGAGTTGAGCTGGCCATAAACTAATAGGTTTTTTTTTGTTCAGCCTGCAGGCTGGTTCCTTAACTTATGCCATATAGTACAGATGTACGAGTCCCTGATTTTAGCCAACATCAGCAGCTGTCATAATACCTGAACAGATGAATTTCTATTCGGCTCCTTTGTTTTTGGGTTGTGTGGTGCTTTTTTTTTTTTTTTTTTTTTTTTTTTTTTTTTTTTAAGAATGTCAGCAGGAAGGTGGAGAGGGCCATCCACGAAGCAGATTTTTGTTTTTGTCTGGTTTATCAGGAAGTGGACAAAATCCGCACAGTAATTAGTCAACTTCAGAGTTGGAGAGCGAGGGGCAGTGCTGATAATGAGCTTACAGTATACTGCATTGCAGTGTTGTTGGTCTACCACTGGATGCTTGCTAACAGGTAATAAGAGCACCTTAAGTATCTCACTGGTAGAAATACGTCTTTGCTGGCCAATCACTGGTAGAGATGGATCATATAGCAGTCTCAAAGCATGCTACAACATTCAAACAGAACTGCATGGCTCTTGGCCCACTTTTTCAGTTAGAGGCATGGCCACATTTCCCTAAGAGCTATAGCATGCTTGCACTCTGCTGCCTGGTAGCAATGTGCATCTACAGCGAGGTTCCTACTGACAAATAATGCTGGGCAGCGGGCAAGTAAACCTGTCATGAGAGGAACACTGGGGCTGTCCTAGCCTGACCTAAATAACTTTTTTTTTTTTTTTCTGCCCCTTGGTATCACAACTATGGCTACAATCTGCACTATAGGTGTGTTTTTTTTTTTTTTTGTTTTTTTTACCACCTTCCTTAACATATCCTTGCACAGAGGGACATGTCTGGCAAGCTGGGCTTCAATGAGTTTAAAGAACTGGGGATGGTATTGAATGGCTGGAGGCAGAACTTTATGGCAGTGGACATGAACAGGAGCGGATCAGTGGATGGAATGGAGCTCCACAGATCTCTGACAACTATGGGTAGGTAGAAAGAACTTAAATAATATGTGTCCTCATAGAGGTTCTTCACTTCCTGTTCTGAACGGGAAAAATGTCCTCAATAGGGACACATGACAATAAAATCCCTAAAAGAAATTCTTAACCTTTTCAATCCACTAGAAAATTAGTTTCTTAATTGTACAAGACATGGGCAAAGTATTCGTAGACCTTGAGTTAGGGCCAATTTAGACAGGAGCCAATTAACCAACAGCGTGTTTTTTGGCATGTGGGAGGAAACCCATGCAGGCACAGAGAGAACATGCAAACTCCAAGCAGGCAGTACTGTGGTTGGGTTTCGAAGCAACGACCCTAGTGCTACCCACAGAAAGTACTAACCACTTAGCCACCGTGCTGCTAATTTATGTGTGCTTGATTGCTACATGGTACTTATGTACCTTACTCAATAGGGAGCTATTTATTTAGCTGTGATTTGCCATGACTAAAATAATCATGTGATTTTTAACTGCAGGATTGAGCTACTAAAACTCTTGGGAAAGAGCCTGTCAGCTAGAGTTAACCACCTACTTTTCAAATTTTTATTGGTTTCTAGGATGCAGGCAGCCACAGTCACTCAAGCATCCGTGGTTGCTAGGTTGCAGGTGGCCAGGGCCACACAGTGTTATTGGTTGCTAGGATGCAAGCTGCCAGGTCACAATGATTCATTGGTGGTTATGGTGCAGTCCTACCACCCAATGATATTGTTCAGCCCTGGCCACCTACATCATAGAAATCAAGGAATCCTGAGTGACAGGGGAATGGACAAGCCCCCTCCCCGGGCATAACTAGTGATGGCATTTTGTCTCGGAAGCGCCTGGTTCTTAAAGCAAGAACTTTCAAAGGTAATTAAAATTTGTCTCATTGCTAAATGTGTGAATGGAAAACTGTGGGAGAGGTGTGGGCCTGCTGTTGATCACCACCACCCAGCAAAGAGACAAGATAGAAAGTAAGGATGAATCCTGCATAAGCGCTCGCCTGGGGAACAAGGAGCAAAAAGCATGTGCAGTGAGAGCTCTTCCTTAAGGGCCAGTTCACACCACAAAAACACACTCCGGATACGTTTTTTTGCTTACAGTTCACACCACACGCAGTTCCGGTGCAGTTTGCTATGTTCCAGTATGATTCTGTGCGGAAAAAAAAATGCAGCATATTAATTTTTTTTTTTTTTTTTTTTGCACTGGAAACTGACTGCACTGATGTGAACTATAACCATTGGAATATATGGAAAACACTGTGCATAAATGGTTTTTTTTTTTTTTTTTCTGCATCAAAAATCGCACTGGGCTGCATCTAGTGTGAATTAGCCCTAAATCTCACAGTAGTGAGAGGTTCTAATCCTTGTGTAGCTCTAGCCTAAACTAGGTGAGTACAGACCAATAGAAGTTGACCTGCTGGTTTTTGTTTGTTTGTTTTTTTTTCTTTCAGGCTTCAGATTGAGCCCACAAGCTATGAACATTATCACTAGGAGGTACAGCAATCACGGCAGAATTACATTTGATGACTACATTACTTGTTGTGTGAAACTCCGAGCCCTGACAGGTATGCCGCCAGCCGATGGGATTAAGGGGGAATTCTACGGGTAGACTATTGCTTCACTAAAATGTTGATGTATTGTTTGCAGAAACTTTTAAAAGGAGAGATGTGTCCCAGCAAGGAATGGTGAATTTCATGTATGATGATGTAAGTACTATGTGTGGGGGGGGAAAAAAAAAAAAAACCTGGACCCCCCCCCCCCTGTGTGAGATCTGTGAAGACATGATAAAAGAAATATCTGACAGTAATATGCCTTTTGAAAATTTCCAGACCTGCAGGATGTAGTTTAGTTCCAGGGCAATGACTGAATTGTTTCCTCTTCCCTGTGTAATGCCACAGCCCCGGAACTACTACTTCAGTCAGAGGCTTCTCACACAGCTGTTTTGCTGGCAGATATTCTCTTTAATTTGTTTCTTCTAAGCTCTACACACAGGGGTAGCCAGACGTTCTCCTGTCAACCATTTAACTAACAATCATTTAGCATAGGTGAGGATCTTGCATTATGTTGGGTACTCGTGGTATATCCGTAGCAGGGGCGGACTGACCATTTGGAAACTCGGGCACTGCCCGAGGGCCCGGGGTCAGTAGGGGGCCCCATGAGATGCCGCTGGTACCTTTTTTTTTCATAGGCTTTTTTGAGTTTGGGCAAGGACACAGGGGGGCCCCATGATCCCCTATTGCCCGGGGCTCCATGAGTTGTCAGTCCGCCCCTGATCCATAGTACTGGTTTTGTGGGAACCTATAGATACAGTACAAGTGGTAATCTATATAATATGTAGTGAAGCGCTAAATACCATAACCTTATATCCTGATGCAGTCACGTGGTATAGTGATGCAACGTGTAGATACGCCGTGACGCAGCTTCCGGTCTGCGGTGACCTACTTCCGGTACGGGCTCCATCTTGGCACACCCAGAAAGAGTCCTAACCCATGCTGTACACCCAGGTGTATGCGGTTTTATGCTGTAAAATCTACATGTAACAAGTGAGTGGGCTTTTTTTTTTTTTTTTTTTTTTAAATAAAGAGTCTTTTTATCCACTTAATACTGTGCTATGAGGATCTTTTCTCTCTCACCATTATCCATGGTGAGTGATATGCAGAGTTGGTGATACAATCCTGGGAGGTCTGGAGGTCAGATTTACCTGAGAGGTGAACCGCAGGAAGAGGATACCAGACACTGCTGGAGAAGGATCTAGGATTGATCCTGAAGGCTTGGTGGCCCATTAGGGTCGCAGAGTTGAGGGGGTATTTTAGCCACAGAGGATAAGTGTGCTGACACCAACACAATTATCACTTTGATCACCTTGCATGAACTCTTTGTTGATTGAGCACTTTAACAGAGGATTTATGAACTTTTGTGATTTTTATACTCATTTAATTTGGATCAGTTTGGTCGCTATTTTGCACTTATCACTTTAAGAGTGGTATTTAACTTATGAAAGGGGTTGCTTAATCATTTATTGCACTTTATTAGTATTTATTGCACAGTGAAATATATGTGTAGATTTGATATATACACATAGTTTGGTCACATTTTTTTGCACATATCACTTTAAAGTGTGATTTATGCTATGAAATTTGAGAGTATGTATGTGTGTATGTGTGTATATATATATATATGTATATATATATATTTTATATATGATATATTTATTATATTTTTTGATAATTTATTAAGATTTGTGATCACATAGGTTTGGCACTACATATTGACGCTTATAATCTGGTATTTAGCACTTCACTACATTATTTATTAGTTATTTCACTGATTAAGGTTCAGTTTTAAGTTTGCTCTATAGTTTATTTTATCATACTCCATATAAGCTCAGGAGGATTTTATATAGATTTCATGGTAATCTATATAGCTTTGTCTGTTGATTGCAGAGGTGATGGAGCTATCTAAGTAATGGCTTTTACTGACTTGTTTGTCTGTCTTCTAGTTCATACAAGCTGTTATGAGCATCTGAAGGAGGCCCGCAGCCCAGGAGAAATGCATCATTCCCAGCACTGGCTCATTGTTTATTCCCAGAAGCGCCTGTAATTGTAACCACTACTATGCATTAGTCATTTTTATTTTTTTTAATAAATGAATGATGGGCAGAGATGTGGCATTTTCTTTTATTTTGGAGAAAAAAAACAGTATGAGATTGGAATAGAGTCCATAAATCCAAGCTATCGGCTCATTTAGAGCAGAATATGGGCACTGACTATGAGAAAAATGGGCAGACTGAACAGGTTACTTTGATTAACATCAAAATCTAAAAACGGGGAATTTAAAATGGACCCAGAATCAGATATCATCATGAATGCAAAGTAATGTAAATTTAAGTCTTAAAGGATAGGGTCACCTTTTTAGGAGCATGTTGTATGCCCTATATTTTGGGGGGGTGTAAAATGTAGCATGCTCCTATTCACTGGGCTCCTGCTGTCACGCCCCCTCCCTCTGACAGTGGGTGGTGGTTCCTCTTTCCACACCCGCTGTCACATTTTAAATACAATGTGGTTCCATCTGCACAGCCCTGTCATTCTCAGAGATCTGTGAGTGAATGCAGTGCAAGTCCCGTTTTGCCACAGTAGCAGACAGATTTTAGTTCTCAATGGACTGTGAAGGTCCTGTAGTTCATTGACTCTTCATGCAGTTCAGTAACTGCCCACGTAGTACAAGCAGACAGCTATACTGAGTGTCTGCAGGAGCCTTATGGGTGCAGTGCTTTGCAGACTCCACTGTAAAAATAAATAAATGCATGAACTTTTTTTTTTTTTTCTTTCCCCCCCCCCCTGCAAAAATATGTGCATTTAACATTTATTTCACAAATGTGAACATAGCCTTTATAGTATATAACTCAGAGATCACAGTATTCCTCCTACCTTTGCCTTCATCTGGTTTCTCACTGGGATGGAGTCATCATCCAGGGTCTGCATCTACTGAGATGCCAGCTTAAAGATGACACAATCCTGGTGCTTCTACAGATATTATCTGTGTTAAACACTAACATGTTTTGGGAGTCTGATATGCAGGAATATCAGTCTAGGAATATTTTGCAATGACTTGATTTTGGAGTTAAGCTGTTCCAGAGATTTGGGCGGCAATATCTCTACATTGTTGTGAAGTCTTTTAAAGTAGACCATTTATGAACTTTACAAGTCTACACAAATTAATTCCTGTATGTCACAATATATAGAAACCATATCATTTTTCAGAAAAGCTCCACCTTTTGATCATTAAAAAGCAGTCCTTGTACTCCTGCCCAGTGACTTTGCCTAACTGAGATGCGGTTATAATTCTGCTGCATTCAGGAGCCATTTCTTCAGTCTCCTATCCCCCAGTGATCAGCCTGTAAATTTTGACTATGTTAGACATTAGGCACTAGGACTGCATCACCTAGAGTCAGCATCTCACTCAGGATGCTGCCCCTGCATGATGCCCAAGCAAAGATGAGCATAGAGAGAGGCATTGTGATTCGTCGTACTGTATATACCTGCAAGTATTATACTTGCATATTACTTAACATACATACACATAACAAATTCAGATGCTAGCCTACTTCAAATTAAAAAATCTATTTGTTATGTTGCCCCTTGTACTAGATAACTATGCTTACCTAAAGCACTGACCTGTACTGCTTTAATAGAATGTGTCAGGTTTACCTGTAAAATATACAGGGACTCAGGTGAAATCTAAATCTATCTTTATGGTTCTTCTTACTTTGGGAGGGGGTTGTTGTCCCAATGGCAGAATTGCAAAAAAGGCTGACTTCAGGAGAGAAGGGGACTTCATTGGCAGTGGAGCTGTGTTCTGTTTACGGCCACCTGAACCAAGGACTGACTCTCTGAAAAGCAGGCCTAGCCACATACACTGTATCAGACATTTAGCATAACAACTTGCTTTGAAAATGCTTCTTTATCACTCTGAAAAGGGAAAAAATACTAGAGACTTTAGAAGGACTTTAATTTTTCTTCTTGATATTTACACGCATCAAAGATATTTCCATTCCTAACAAACATGGGTGGATTTACTAAAGGCAAATAGACTGTGCATTTTGTAAGTACAGTTGCACGAATTTCCCTTAGTAAATGCAGTGTAGCTTCACTTTGTAAAGAATACTTAATCAGGTGCAAGGAAAATATAAAAGCATTTCTGCTAACACGATTGGATGATAGAAATTAGCAGAGCTTTACCACATTTAAAAAAACTCTGGGAAAATTAGTGCAACTGCACTTGCAAAGTGCACAGTCTATTTACCGTTAGAAAATCCACTGCACATTCTCCCAAGGCTGTACCCCAGCTTGGTTTCAAAGGAACAAATACAATGTACTTGCATTCATTAAACTCATTTATTTAAAAAATAAAACATCCATCCATTGGTCAAGTGTTGGGAATAATTAAAAAAAAAAAAAAAAAAAAAAAAACCTCATTTGTAAGAATTTGCTTTGTGTTTTGGGAGGAAGGTGAAGTTTGCAGGAACGGGTCCCAGCAGCATCTCACTGCAACAAAATAAAAACATATAATGAAAAAATGGAAAGAAAAGTAAGCTAGGACGCACAGCAAGCATCTTCCAGAAATGTTATCCAGCACACATACACATTACTAAGACGTGAGCCCGTACCAGGAAGGCACATCTGTTCACCATGTTCCAACTGCAGTAAAGAGAACCTGTATGCAGGATTGATGGGTGCTGCCACTTCTCAGCTCTATCTGAACATGCTAGCTGCCTGGCTCTCTCTAGTTGTGAAGTCAGAACTACCGCTTTGTTTTAGAAAGTATGCTGTATGGTCAAATGTGTAGCTACGTTATTCATCACACCTATATGAGCTTGTTGGACATTCCATTCTGAAACCATGGGCATTAATATGGAATTGCCTCCAATAGAAAGGTGTAAGAACACACAGCGCATCACAGCCTGTTGTGTATGGGGCGGCATAGCCACAGACCAGTCAGGGTGCCCATGCTGTGTCCACGACCAAAACCACCTACATTGGTTGTGTGAGCATCAGGACTGGACCACGGAGCAATGGAAGAAGGTGGCCTGGTCTGATGAATCATATTTTTTTCTTTTACATTATGTGGATGGCCAAGTGCTTGTGTGTTGCTTAGTTGGGAAGAGATAGCACACATTCCACAAAGGCAAGCCGGTGGCGGCAGTCTGATGCTTTGTCTAGTGGAGTCCACGCCTTGATAGGTCAAGGCTGTTTTGGCAGCAAAAACGGACGTATTTAATATTGGTTGGGTGGTCATAACATAACTGATCAGTGTAAACCTACTTTCTTTGAGAAAGCATTGTGCCTACCATAAAACACGTCAGAATTATTCCTTCTGGTTATTATATAAAAGGAAGAATATGATTTTGCATCTTGATGTGCGGTATCTCTGTTGCTGATAAAATTGATTGCTTTGGTGGACCCGATCTGAGCCAGCACCTGAGATCCTAAGATGTGATTGTGTAGCCTGTTCTCACCTGGAGCAGCATGTGAAATATTTGCCCTACATCCAAGATAGATGGACATTAGCAAAGAAATTAAAAAAAAAAAAAAAAAAAAAAAGGGGCTACACTCTATACAAAAAATGAGTATAGTTTTAAGTGGGCCATGCATTATACAATATTATTGTCCAATTTTCCTTTAGACTTACCAACACCATATAATATGTGGTCAAACCTAAACACAATTTGTATGCAATCAGGCAGGCCCTTGCACTACATAATTGAAGGTAAATCTAAAAGAAATTGAAGAAAATTGTGTAATGTATGACCAGCCTAAGAATAGTGTGCCTGGAAAGTAGGCCATCCCAGTTATATTCTAGGATTTAAGATACGTTTAACAATGGACACCAAGTTTACTATAGAAGGGACATTCGATTATCAGAGTGGGGCTGATATGGGAACCAGTGAAGCAGGTCAAACTTTCAAAAACTACTAACCTGATCTTTATCCAGTCTCCCACATTCTGACTTGCCATTAATGTCTCCATGTGGTCTCTTCCCATATAGTAGGGCGGTCGCTCATTGATCTTCTGTGGCAGACGTTCCAGTAAGCCAACAGGAATATACCTGTGTACAATAAAAACAGGATTAAAGAAGAACTCAGCAACAAGTACAATCAGTGAACTGCTTATGCTACATAACATACTGTACAATGCTGCTTTTCTAAAGCCAGAAATTGGAACTAATCTGAATGTTAAATTAACCACTTTCTGCAAGTCATACGCATAGATATGGCTGCAGCTTTAAAGGATAAGTAAGTTCACCTTTCATAACATGTTACAATTACATTCAGGACCAGCCCCTGCTCCCCCGCTTTGACAGCTAGCAGGGGATCTTCTCCCCGCCTAGCTGTCAAAAAACAAAAAGCCGATTCTCATTCACAGTCTTCTGTAAATGAGAAAACTACAAATCCCGACAGCCTTAGCATCTGTCAGCTTGTAGTTCTCAGTGTAGTTCATTGATTCTTCCTGTCAGAGTGTATTGGCTTGCCTGTACCGGATGTATGGACAAGCAGATATACTGTCAGCATATTATCCAAGCACCATTCCAGACAACATGGCCAGCTGTCAAACGTCTTACACAGCAAAATATGAAATAAAAGAAATACTTTTCCTTTGCAGGCCGTCTTCTGAAAATTCTCTTCATCCTGACCCAATGGGGTTTATTTACTAAAGCTGGAGAGTCCAAAATCAGACTCCCTTCTGCATAGAAACCAATCAGCTTCTAACCTCAGCTTGTTCAATGAAGCTTTGGCAATGAAACCTGGAAGCTGATTGGTTTCTATGCAGAAGGGAGTCTGATTTTGGACTCTCCAGCTTTAGTAAATAAACCCCAATGTGTTTAGCATTTCCTAAATCACCAACACAGAAGCAGCCAGAAAAGTCATAATTTGCGCATTTTGTGTCAGGTCAGTTACGCAAAAATTAAAAATCAGAGGATCAGCATGGCAGACGGGCCTCTAGCATTTTCAGATGGAAGTCAGCAAAGGTGGCATTTGGATTTCTAACATGACCAAGTTTCCGCTAAGTAATACATCTTGGTCACTGACCTGCTCCCTGCTGCTGACTGGACAATAAAGGAGCATTCCTCACTCTGCTCTCTCCTTCAGTGCTAAATTGACAGCACAATGTAATAGAACAGAGCCCAAATGCCTGATATTTTTGGCCTTCCACTTGTGCAGGGGGTTCTAGAAAGCTGAAGAAGGTGTCTAAATAAAAGATAAAGGAAAACGTATCTAGCCTATCATTATAAAATAAACTAAATGACATCTCTAAGTAATATATAGGAGGATTAAAGACACCCTTTTTATTTGCCTCGATCTGAGCTTTATTATAGCTAAGGATGCATACATTTTACATCTCATACCTGCAGAGGAAGGAGAGCCACTCCAGCATAAACCGCCTTGTTTTCTCCACCCCCGGTGTGTCCGAGCCCCAGTGCTCCATGCCGTGGTTGGTGAATTCTCGGAGAATATCAAATCTCTCTGATGAGGAAATGTCCCAGTGCCTCTGCTCTTTAATCTCTGTGAACAGCCAAGGCTTTACCAGCGCACCTCTGCAACCAGGACAGAAGGTTGGTTGAGCAAACACAGCACACGGACTGGTCATATCTCCTCACACATTTATCTATTTGCTCTGAAATGGCAATTAAATCTTGACATGTTTGGTATTTACTTGGTGTAACATCATCTTTTTTATAATTTACCAAAAAATCAAAATTTTGTTGTGTGTGCACGGACTAAAATGCATTTGAGTTTTTTTTTTTCCTTGAAAATTTGCATTTGATAAACTGATATTATATGATATAAAAAAAAATACAACAACCACCATTTTATTAAACAAGGCCGCTGCTTTCAGAAAAAATAGAATTTGTTTTAAGTAAAGCAAAAAAATGTTGATTTTAATATGTATGTATGTGAGAATAATATGTCATAATTGGCCTGGGCAAGTGGTTACAGCAATCAATAGTGATAATCATCATGTGTATAGTCATTTTCCAGGAAAGATTACCCTCTTGTTCAAATATACTGCATTTCCCAACTGATTTTTAGAGCTGAAGTTCAGATGTGGATATTTTTGTATAGTTAGCTTGGTCCAGCATGATCCATACCTGGATGATCCCCATGGAAGCTGGAAATCACTGTAAGGGCTCGTTCACACTTGACTGTTTTACCAACGCTTGCCAAACGCCCCTATAGCGTTTGGCAATCGTTGGTCCGGTGTTTGCAGAGCGTTTTTTAACGCTCGGCAAGTACGCCGCATGCGCAGTTTAGCGGCGGTTGCTAGGCGTTTGCCGAGCATTAAAAACGCCCCACAAACGCCTATAATGAAGTTTGAATGGTGTTACCGCTCCGCAAACACCCCGCAACCGCACCGCAAACGCCGGCCGGGCATTTGCGCAGAGGCATCATAGATTAGAATAGGAGGCATCAACGCCTCCTGACTCAACCAGAGGCGTCCGTTCTGACGCGACGCTAACGCTCCCGTTAGAACAGCACCATGTGCTGCAATGAGCAGAATTGTCAGAGGCGTTTGGGAAGCGGTAAAAACGCTTCCCAAACGCCTCTCTGCCGCCTGCACACAACGTTAGTGTGAACGTAGCCTTAAAGACACTGCTACTACAGTGAGCACTGCTAGCTTCTGGGTCCCAAGCCAGGTGACTGCCCTGCTGCTTAGTGAATACAGGAGGTCACCCTGTCTGCACAGGCATTTAAAAACATCTTGCATTTTCTCACTGAACGCAAAACTTTCTTTGATTGGACAAGGTGGAGAGGCAGGACGACGATGTCACAATCTCTACCTTGTCCAATCAGAGAACACTTTTGCCTTCATTGAGCAAATGTGAAGCAATGGTGCCAAGCGACCTCCTGTATTCAATAAGCAGCAGAGCAGTCAAACTGGACCAAGAAGATAGAAGCAAGCGCTTTAGAAGCGGGTGTCTATTATGGTGATTTCCATCTTCCAGGTATGGATCAGACATAGTGTTATTGGACCAAGCTGGACCAATGTAACTATGCAAATATATCCATACTTGGAAATTACTGTAGTAGTGTTCAGCTTTAATTCTCCTTTGAGGAAGTTGATCTGCAACAAAAATACAGTAAAAAGCATCCCACTTATGGTCCTCTGCTCCTTATGGTCCCTTTGATGCCTTGCTGATAGTTGCCCACCAACTACTCAACAGATATTCTATTTTTATGACCAGGTTGATTAAGAGTTGGTTTTATTCTTCTATTAATTGGCTATTCAGGGTCAGTTACTTGGAAGTCAGTGATGGCCAAGCATCTAGCATTTTGAGGAGGGCAGCAATGGCAGTCAATATATTATTCTACTTGTTCAGCCAGTTCTGTGATTAACACACCACTATTAGATGCATCAGCTTCACAGCTACAGCACTAGTACGCTTATTGGTCAGGGAAGAAGCTGTGTGATGAGACTGATTTGTTGTCAAAGGCTTCTTTCACACAGGCATATGTGAATTTTCAGCAAGGAAAGCAGGTTCTTGTTCCCAGAGCTAGCAGACGATCCTGCATATAATACAAGCCTACTCGCATTTTGACACATACTAGGGGTTATTTACTAAAACTGGAGAGTGCAAAATCTGGCGCAGATCTGCATAGAAACCAATCAGCTTCCATGTTTTGTCAAAGCTTAACTGAACAAGCTGAAGTTAGAAGCCGATTGGCTACTATGCACAGCTGCACCAGATTTTAAGAGCACCACTTTTAGTAAATCTCCCCCACATTGTTTAGACGTGTACAATTCTTCTAATACATTTCTGTGTACATGCGTTTAAACATGAAAAATCTACAATATGTACAGCCCCAGGCACAGCTGTTTACTACTTTTTTGTACACTGCAAAACACGGTATACATTTTCGCTGTGCGTATGGCCTCATTGATTCGTATAGTGCTGAGTTTAGATGTGCACAAAACTATATGCTGTATTTTAGGCGTCTGGGTAAATACGCCCCAAAGCTGCAAATGTATACAGTGCCCTTACATGCATGGCTATGCAGTGTGAAACATGGTTGTGCAGTACATATTGGCTGAACAGATTGTACACACAAAGATGAATCTCCCTCTTTCCTACCAGAGATGGGACCTGCTTGGATTATTCAATCAGACAGAGCCGGTGTATCAATATAAAAATGTAGTCATTTTAAAAACTGTAAATGTAACATGTTCAATAAAACAATCAAAAAGTATTCTAGTGTTTCAGCAGAGCCTTGTGTACCTCGAGTTTGTTCACTGTGTGCTCCCACACAGTGGCCGAGCCGTCAAAGACAGCTCTCAGTCTGTACTAATAAACAGGAGTTGGCGGGAACAACTCCCGCACAAGTGTCCACTGTGACAACCAATCACAGAAATTCTGAAGGACCCTCTGCACACTGGTATATACCCTTTCAAGCAGACTATGCAATAAATAGGGATATTTAGTTCACACATATTGCAATACATAAGTTGGCCAACTGCGTCAAAGTAATCAGTAGGTCAGTAGCCAGACCTGGACCTTATAGCTCTCCCCCATTGTGTCTTTTCCCCTATGCTAGCATTGTGTCCACAGTAGCATTTGCGTAGGCAGAGCAGAGTAGGTCTGGCCATAGAGGGATTACTTTGACGCAGTTGGCCAGCTTAAGCATGTATTGCAATATGTGTGAACCAAATATCCCTATTTATTGCATAGCCTGCTTGAAAGGGTATATACCAGTGTGCAGGGGGTCCTTCAGAATTTCTAGTGTTAATATGTGGTTACACCCCTTTAGCACCTGATGAATAAATGCATGCACTAGCTTTTGAGATTTGAGCACAGGTATCTCGTTTGTTTTAACCAATCACAGAAGTCACACGATTGTCCAATCCTTCCTGCCCCCTGGGCGTGCAAACCCTATTAAAGGGAGGCCGGTGATGGGCAGGAAGGTGTTAATATTTATTTTGACAATCTCCTGACCCTAATACATGCTCAGCTATGAATGCATAATAAAACTAGTTTGTGAACTAGTGATGCACATAGGTTCTTCAAACCTTTTTATTGGATACTGACCTTGCCAGCATAATTCCTGAAACCCCAGTCTGCAACGATCGATTAGCGTCCTCAAAGGAGAATATATCCCCGTTTCCTGTAAAGCACTAATATTAGGAGCTTACAACAAAATCCCCTCTTCATTCAATTAAAAAGCACCCCCAAAAAATGGAGCACAGCCAATGTTTAACATAAAAAAAAATTCTGGCTTCTATACACTTCTCCTCTCAATTCGCTACAAGATGTCCTCTGTATTTCTGGCTCTTCCTCCCAGTATGCAGTACTTGGGTGTCCGGGAGGAGAAAAGGTAATTAAACCTGTGTAAATGGAAAAAATGACTGCCACAAAGCCTAAAGGAGAAGTACAGCCAAAGTTTTTTTTGTTTGGGCTATACTTCTACAGATTACAGGAGGGCAGTTAGCTCTGTACTCCTGTGACCCGTTTTAACCCAACATCACACATCACACAGACAGTCCAGGCTCTAAAAAGATCCCAGCCATATGGCCAAGAACCACCCAGAAGCCTGGACCGGCAGCTGGCTCGACCTCTCAGCAAGCTGCTGAGAGCCTGAGCCAGACGCTCCCAGCCCCTCCACAGCCTAGCACTCCAGTGGGCGCTGGAGGGGCAGAACAGAGAGCCAGAAACTGACAGTCATGACACAGTGTGGAGGGGGAAAACAGCAATCGCAGTGTCTGATTGCTGAGCTCTCAGTGCAAAGACAGCGAGGGACAGTTGCAGCATCCGATCAATGCTGTATCCACTTAGGTGAGTATAATTTTTTTTTTTCCTGCTCTGGACACGTGGACACCAAGGAAAGTGTGCCACGGGATCATGGGGGAGCGACGACTCCACTCTGGTCACATGATCTCCCATTCAGCCAGCTTCAGGGGAGAGGAGAGCACAGTGGCAATGGCTTTCGGAGCCTGGGCAATGACAACATCCATAGACTTACTATAGGGCATCCGTTCTCCACTTTCTCTTCTCTACACTGTGAAGCCGGTGTTGGGACCTGATCAAGCAAACTGACTGAAATGCCCTTAGATTAGGTATATACATCTTTCCTTTACAGGGTAGTTAACATAGGGCTTAGAATGGAGGTGGGAGCAGGTTTAAACTTAGTTACCTTTTGACCAGACTTCTACTTCAAGAACATTTATGTTTATCACTTACCAAATAAAGGTAGTGGATCTGCAATCTTGGCACAACGGCTAATATATTCCCAATCTGCGAGCTTTGTATATCGCTGCTCTCGGGATCTGCCGTGAAGCTGAAAGGAAAGAACACAGAAGGATTATATGGGTTATGCAACCCGAGGTTGAACATGCAATGCTTGAATCAGGAAAAACATTTGCATTCCCTTTAGTTGTCAAAAGTTAGGTTTCTCACTTTTTTTGTTTTTACAGATAATTTCCAGACCCCAGAAATACATTCTAGCTCCTGATTTGGGGTCAGCTTGCTCACTCTGAATTAAATGTAATACAACCAAAATGATTATGGTCTAAACTTGGGAGTAAAAAAAGATTTTCATGTAACAAAGAGAAATGTATTCACACACAGAACTCTGGGATAAGAATGCACTGTCTAAATACAAGAGGATTGTGTATTCTTACTTGAATCTTGGTGTGCTTTGTTTATTTCTTCCAGATCTGTGCAATAATCCAGTGTGAGACAGGAGCTTCCTTGTAACTAAGCCTGAGGTTAGGTTGCAGGGAGAGCTTAAAGTGGAATAAAACCTTCACCAAAAGAAAATGTGCCCCCTGGAGCTTTTAGCCATAACGTGCTAATATGCACAGTATAGCCGCACAATATGGAAGACTTACCTTGGAAGTGATCCCATTTTAAGCTCTCTTCTGTCATAAAAATCCTACCCATTTTTAAGTTTAATTCCGCTTTATAGATATGAAACAAAAAACCTAAGTGCATCCTTGTTCAAGTTACAAATACTTTAGAACATCTGAACTCACAGTGACCAGAGAAACTCCCCATTCCCTCAGGTCTGGGATAAGCTTATGAGCCAAACTGACTTTCTCCTGGACTCCGGTTCTGATCTTCACGGTCAGTGGAACATCCAGAACCTAAAGATATGACAGTGAAAAATATCAGATTAAAAAAGCTGTTTGCCCAAAAAAAAAAAAAAGACACTCGTTAAGTCCTAGATGTAAGAACTAGGCGCTGATCTATATTAAAGTAGATTTAGACGTGTCTAAATCTCCCTTGCCTCTGAAGCCCAGTCCGCGTTTGGATTGCACTCCAGAAGCTACTGACAGGCGGTGAAAAAAAAATGCGACGCCTCCCCACTGCCTGTTTTAATCCCATTTTTGGCGACAATTGCGCCGCAACCGTGCATTGCAGCACTTCTCCATTTACTTGAATGTGTTGTGTTTAACAGGCTTCCCTCTCGCCAATCGCTATATGCCAGGTGAACTTTGCTGCGGACGTGAAGTGAATAAAATTCCAATTCATCCCAAAAATGTTCAGTAGGGTATTGAGGTCAGGGCTTTGTGCAGGCCACTCTAGTTCCTCTGCATCAGACCATGTCTTTATTGAGCTGGCTTTATGCACATGGGCACATTCATGCTTGAGCTGAAAAATACCAAAAACTGTCACCACACAGTTGCAAGTACGCAAATGTCTTTGTATGCTCTGGCATTAACAGTACCCGTCAATGGAATCACCTGAACTCAATAAATTGAGAGGGGTGCCCACATACTTCTGGCCATAAGTGTAACTCTCTACTGAGATGTTGCCTGGGGGACAGATGCAAAAATAGAGAGCTGCCAGTCATCACTGTAGACTATGGATATTTACATATTGCATGTTACAGAGGGAAATCTGGCTTGGTGTAAATGTAATGTATAATATTTTATATTTAGTTCACTGAACGAGCAAGCTACTAAAGAACTACATCAAAATGAAGGTAAAAAAGTTATATATATATTTTGATATAGGTTTCCAATAAGAGAATATCTATAAATATATTTTTCATTATCATAATGCAAATCCCTCTAATGCAGAAGGAAAGGGATTTTTAATAACTCGCCAGTTAAATGTTGCTCCCCCTTGGCTCCTGTCCATATACATATTGTAAAACATCACTACCTAAATACTATTTTTTTTTTAGTTTGCTCTGCATTCAGGTGGCTGCAAAGCTCCAGCACTTCTCTGTACAACAGGAGGTCCGATAACAGTGCTGGAAACAAGGGAACTCAGGGTTGTCAAGAGCCCACGTGAGAGTAAAGAGTGAGCCAGGGTGCCAGAGCTTTGCAATCCACATAGGAAGAAAAAAAAAAATAAACAGTATTCCGGAAGCATTTATTACAAACTACATACAGAGCAGATCACAGCTAAGGGGAAGCAACATTTAACTGATTAGTTATTATGTCTTCCCTTCTACTTTAATTCACATTTTTCATATACATGTTCCCATCAATATATCGAAAGAGCAGGGCCCTCAATCCCCTCATGTTTTGCATTATATTGTATTGTTATTGTTCTGTCCCCCATTGTAATGTACAGCGCTGAGCGAACTATTGGCGCTTTATAAATACTGTATAATAATAATAATATAGAAAGACACATATTCTGCAGACATTCTTCCTCTGTGCACTTACCGAATTCATTCCTTTAACAATCTGTTCAAATTTATTAGTTCTAGTCATTAATCCACAACCACCACCCTAAGAAAGAAGAAAAGCATTAAAGACCTGGAGTCAAAAAAATATTTTTACATAGGTACAAAACCATAGTCCACTTACCCTAGCATACATCACACATGGACACACACCATATTTATCACACACATAACACAAGCACACATTATACTCAGAACACAACATATTTAACACTGACACTACAGTTCACAAACATTACAAAGCAGCGTACACAATACCAAACACACACAATGTCATCCGACGGCCCCTCCACCTCAGTCAAAGAAAGCTTTGCATTCATTGCTAAAAATATACGGTTTTGTATAAAAGGCTGAGAAGCATTAGGCTGGACTCAATTTTGTTCCAGCAGCAGATGGAAAATTGCCCATACTTCTGCTGCTATACATCACTGCATGCTGTATGTAGCTTTAGCTACTGCAGTATGATATAGTGCTGATAGCGGCTGCATAACTCAGAGAAATAGTTCATTTGGGCCAGTGTGACCCAAACAATCTATTTGAAGTGTTAAGAAATATGGACTTACACTTGCCAAACATGGATCAAAATTTGGCCAGTTCATCAGGGACCAGCTGAGATTCAATCCATGTATGGGCAGGCTGATTGTACCCAAGCTGAACTATTGATTGACCTGGGTACGACCAGTCTGTCAGATTTTTTTTACATTCGATTACTGCCGGAGGCTATAGCCGCTAGCAGTAATCATTGTGTTCTGCCGGCCGGGAAGGCTCCCCACACCACCCCCACCAGCAGAACACAATAGCGCCGTAGGAGGCATCCCCTCCATCAACACGAATAAGAAAATTGAGCAACTGTCTTTCCTTCCACCCATGGTGGTAAATCTTTAAAGGTTCCCATTGCATGGATGGTTTTTAATGTTATGATAAGGAATATTGCTGCTTCTGTTTGAATATATTTTGCAATGATAGTTCAAACTACGCATCAGAGATTATATTGCATCCCTCTTTTTCTACAATACGGCTTAACACCACAATTTTGGAATATGCATTCAGGTAACAAGCAGAGCTTCCTAGTATAAAAAAAAAAAAAACTTGAACCAGAAAAATTATTTAGAATTATCGGTATCCCCTCAACTAACTATATCCAAAATCCCCTACAGCATATGTGTACACTTTCATCACAAAAGTGTGATGATCTGTGAGTAATGATATGCTAACTATAAAATATATATAAATCCTCAATTATATCACAAAAACCATATATCAAATCATGCAAAAGAAAATGTCCAAAATAAAAAATAAAATAAGTATAAATATAAATAATATATCCTCAGGAGCCAGTTGGAAGGTTTCAACACGAAGATTGTGTTTGGGAATTTTTCACAGAGTGACTATATATTTTTGAAAGGACATTATTTATATTTATACTTGAACCAGAAAAAGTTTACCTTATTGTACACCAAATCTATCGGACATCCAACATTGATATCCACAAAGTCCACATCGATGGTCCTGTTCAGCAGCTCAGCACATTTAGTCATGGTGTCAGGAAAAGCGCCCTCTAGCTGCAATGATATTGTATGATAAATTAGAAGTTATATTTTAGGAACTTAAAAATGAGAGGACACAAACTCAATACGGTTTTCTATGGGTTTATGTCAATGGTCGTTCTAGTCAAAAGCTGCATTTTCTGTTTGCACAAGAAAAGGTTGCATTTGACCTGCTTTGCTTGTAGTTCAAATGCACCTTAACAGAACACGCTATGTCCAAAGAAAGGCAGTGCATCGCAAAGCATGCCAAACACATCCTCTGACCTGTTATGCTCTCAATTAAAGTCAATGGGATCTTGTTTATCTGTGTTTGACGTGTGTTCCAAATACTTGTCAAATGCAGGAAAACAACACCCGTCAAGATAAACACTAAGGCTGTCCATAGATTAACAGGGCAATGGGCATGCAACACCCCCACCCACAGAGCAGCAAACCTTTCAGACATTGTAAAGCACTCCAAAAGCTTAGATCAGCTTCAGACCTCCCTTCCTTGAAACCGTAGCAATGTTACATTGCTTGTGTACAGTTCCTCTCAGAATTTTCTTTCCAATGTGCATGTTACAGTGTCACTCAAAGCCTAACCAAACATCTGCAGAGAACTTGAATCCAAACTACAGGCATCCCATGCAACAGCAGTTTCATTTCTGAAGAAATACCGTCAATCAGGTAACACACAAAGTAATGCTGGGTCTGAAATGTTCTTACTACAATGAGGCTGATCTGGAGAATATAGTGCAGGCAGACCCTTTAACTTAGACGTCACTTTTAAAGCTGAAAAAGAAGTATGCCAAAGCAGACTGTAGCCTGTTGTTGGCTGTCACAAAGCTGGTCCAGGCTCTAAAAAGAACCCGACCATATTGATCGGGATCCACCCAGATGCTTGAACCGGCAGATGGCTCAGCCTTTCAGCGACCCACTAAGAGCCTGAGCCAGCTGTTCCCACCTATCTCCACTGCCTGGCGCTCCAGTGAGCGCTGGGGTGAGCAAAGCAGAGAGCCAGTGGCTGACAGTCCCCAGCTCTCCAATCACAGAATGCTGAGAACTGAGTGGTTAGTAGCCTGTGTGCTTAGTTCTCAGTGTAGAGCTGGCAGGGGACACATGAGGCATTGTACTGATGCTTCATCCACCTAGGCCAATATAAATATTTTTTTCCTCATACTTCTACTTTTTAACCTGCCTACGTTTTGCATTCCCCGGTTCATTCTTTTCCCCAGCCCCCATCAACATGCCAACTAAACATTTTAGATAAACCTTTCCATTTTCATTACATACTTTATTTTAGATCCAGTGATGTCATCAATAGGCCTCTGTGCTTTGCAAGCAGATCATAGTTAGTGGGAGCGGCAAGCAGAGTGCTACACACAGCTTTATTGAAAACATCACAGCATCCTGCCTCAGTTATCCTTTCAAGAGCAATGGGCTTGGCAGGAGCAATGTAAATATCCTTGATGGTTGGATAGAAGTCTGGAGGAGTGGCCATTCCTAGGCAGGTATGATTGAGCGAACCAAAATTCAATGAATGAAAGGGGCGGGCTAGGAACAGCGATTATGGGGAGGAAATAGATGAATGGTGCTGGATAACCTCCAGCCAGGAAATGAGGTGGGCTCTGCCTGAGTTTCTGCAGCCTCTAATGAGCACTGCAAGAAGCTCACATTGTGCAGTGAAAACCAGAGTAAGCATTTTAGTAAAGGAGAGGAGCCTGTACAACTGTGCAACACTGGAGAATAGGCTGGAGTTCAGCTTTAAGTGAAATATCAGTTTTGGGTAAATAGATCCTAAAATTAGATGCCTTGCTGACTGACAGCACTGAGTATTTGTCTCATGTCAGTAGTAACAGACCTGTACTCCAAAGAGGTCCTCGCTGTGATGCCTCTTCACCAGTGCCCATTCAGAAGAGTGACCCTGGAGGAGGTTTGTACACATGGCCATCTCTCCACATGTGATGTCTGCTCCAAGTCGCTTGCATATTCTTCTATATGGGAGATTGCCGCACTGTACAGTGAACACAGGAAACAAGCAGGTCAGTATTGCAGGTCAATCTCACAAGCTAAAAGATCAGGTCAACCTTGTACAATAGAATAATATATAACAGCCCTGCACAGCCTGAAAATGAACTTGTGTCCTGGCAGAAAAAAACAAAACAGGTTCTCTTAACCGTCACCCTTCCCCCAACTGCATATTTGGCCAAGTTTAAAACTTGCTTGGCTCTAACAAAGAGCTCTTCTCTTCCCACCTGTAGTGGGAGAGGACAGGGTATATCAGTAATGTTTATCTAAATGCTTGTCCACAGCAGATGCCTTAGCAGCTATTTCCAACGCAGCCCTGAAGCAAAGACAAGGACAAAATGCTTTTTGGCCTATGCTGGCAGTTCACAAAACACGCATGCCGTACTTTTTCCAGCGCAAAAGGCTGCGATGCAAGTCATGTCAACACCATTGTAGTGAATAGAGCTGTATTGAAATGTCACTCTCAACATTTCAATAAAGTTCTTTGGAAAAAAAAAAAAAAAGTAAACAGTGTGATGCACAGGAATGGTGCTTTGGCACCATGCCTCCCAGCACAACCAGGAATCGTGCGATCAGTGCGACCCACTTGTGTGAACGGACCATCAATCATTACCCCGACATGTTTTATCTCATTTTTTATTGTAATATTATTTAACTCTGACCCTCAGTATTGAGAACCTGTACAATAAGAGTGTGGCCAGCTTTCTCTGGCAACAAACCTGTGGGAATAATTGCTCCCACTGCCACATTCCTTATTCAGTAATGCATTGGGAGCATGGAGTGACAATTTCATTCACAAAATTACGAATTACAGAATAAGGACATACATGATGTCAGGGCAACAGGAAATATCCACCCACCCTCACACAAGATCAAAGATCAGCTGTGATCCTCGCCAGGCACTGACACTTTGGCACACTTGCTTTTACTTGTGCAATTCTTTATACCAATCTAAAAGAGACAGTCTGGTAGTTCAGGTTAGAGGCTGGGCATGGAGCTAAGAAACCCACCCATCCACCACTGACTGCACAGCAGATATCAGACTGTGAGTGGGAGATTATACGTTGTGCATCAGTCAAGATCCAGATCCAGAATGCAGTTAATCTAATGTTTTCAGACACTGGGTGCAAAAGTGGAAGGTGGTCAGGAAGCTGATAGAAGGAAGAGAACACCGAGGAACCTCAGTAACATAGCGATGTTTAGAATGTAAGGCTTCATGTACACTGGCAGCTCCTAAACTTGAGTTTAGGAGCTTTTGGCATTTTTTGCCTCAAAACTGGACTCGTGCACTTGCTGAGGTGCCGCCCTTGATAGATCAGGGAATCTTGATACAAGCAGAAAAGAACAAAATAGGGCGCACTCTCCTCATGCATTAACCTCCCTGGCGGTATTCCCGAGTGTAGCTCGGGGTAAAGTTTCAGTACCACAAGCAGTAACCCCGAGCTACACTCAGGCTTACCATGTGGCGCTGCTACGGGATCCGTCGATCACTTACCTTGTCCTGCGCTCCCGCGATGTCCCTCCTGCAGTGTCCCCGGCAATATAATCCGGCTGATGCCGGCATCTGTCATCTGAGTTCCGTCCCCTGCAAGCGTCGGGACGTACGGGGGACAGAACCGGTGGGAAATTTGAAAATGACAAAAAGTGACATTCACTAAAATCACATAGTAAAACATTTCTGTATCAACCCATTTCACATACATTTTGTCCCGAGTGCTTTGTCCTGCGCCCTGCCTGCATTTTTACTGTTCTTTCTGCCTGGAAACTGAGAAACGTCCATAGCGTCCCTTTAGGTCAAAAGCGGTTTTAGACCGGCTAGAGAACAGCGATAGTAAATCAGAACCACTTGCAGAATTGACTGATAATGATTCGTGAGGAAATTCGTCATCAGACACTGACAACGATTCTACGACTGAGCTCAGTGATGTGTGAACTTGGCGCTATATTTCAAATTTCCGTGTTTTTGGTTTGATTATAATATTGAATTAAAATTTATTATATTATTTTTTATGATTATTTATTAAATTATAATTTATAAATTTTGTGTTCCAAGTTTTATCCTACCCGGGATGTTTACTAGACTCTTGTTCGAACAGATTTCAGTGAGTTATTCCTAAAAATTACAGGCCTACTATAAAAAAAATACATATTTCCATGCAAAAAAATGTACAGCTTTCAGCACAGAAATATGGACATAATCAGACCGCTAGGGAGGTTAACGCAATAACCAAAAATGTATTAGAAAAATGCAAAAACATACTCACGAGCCATGAAAGGTCATAAAAACAGAGACAAGAAATCAAAGGGGCCAGTTGTGGACAGCATGCTTCCTCGTGGACAGCACGCATTTCGGGAGTTGAACTCCCTTCCTCAGAGCACTGAGGGAGATCGACCCCTGAAACGCATTAGCACTTTGCCTGAGGACACATGCTGTCCATGACTGGCACCTTTGATTTCTTGTCTCTGTTTTTATGACCTTTCATGGCTTGTATGTTTTTGCATCTTTCTAATAAATTTTTGGTTATTGCGTTAATGCACGAGGAGAGTGCGCCCTGTTTTGTTCTTTTCTGCTAGGCTTTTAGCAGTGTTTAGTAGCTTCTGCATTTAGGTGAGGTTAAACCTCCTTCTACTGAATGAAGAAGAATCATGTTCAGGATAGGAAAGTTTTGACCGTGGGAAAACGCAAAATGCAGCAAAAACGTGTGTAAACCACAGTAGGCTAGTGTACATGAAGTCTTACACAGAAGGCTGCACCAGGATATCCTTTGATATTTTAATAACCTTTTAATTTTCTGCTCTTTGTCACAGAATTGACAGCTGGAGGCTGCTGGATTGCAAGGGTCAACGAGAAATTGTTAGACCGATTTTCAAACAAAAGCCCCATGTTGGCATACTCACTGTGGTTAATGGTGCAAGGTAGAGTTTATTTCGGAAATCAATCTAGAGGGAAACAAAATCACAAATTTGTCAAAAAGGACAGTAAAAGAGAGCTGTACCAATATCCAAACACACATATGCCTACAACAAATGTTTAGGGTTTGGTTAATGGCATAGACGAGATTACTCAGTAGGGCTCTAAAAGTTTTTCTACTAAAGGAAGGAACTTACTAAAAATCTTCACACACTGGAACTCCTGAGTTTGCTTTTCTAAATGCAGAAGTGCTCTGAGAACAACTTTTATGATACCCAGATAATTTGTACTGCTTTTTAGCCATGTACACAAGCATTTGCATTGGATTAGAGTATTAATTTGGATCCTGGGCACACAGAATTCTATTTTTTTTAAATGCAGTTAAACTGACCGCACCTAAACACAGGTAAACACACAGTGTGAATGGCAACACTGAAAAATCATTACATGCCTTTAAAAATGTCCTCTAAATGCAGGTTTGACAGTGCCAGTGTGAACGAGGCCCATGGAAAAAAAAGAAATGCGATATTGACATTTTTAAACGTATATACGAATCATGTCATAGCAGTGTTCTGCAGAAAAAAAAAAAAAAAGATGCTTGTGAAGAAAGAGGAGATTTATGGATAGACACATAGCCCAAAGGCCCCCATAAAATTAACCCACTTAAAAGTAAAAAAAAATTCCATAGATTCCCCCATTCATGCTAACAGCATGGATGGAAGAATCTTCACTGTATTCAGGCAGCTGTGGCACTGGCAGCGGCTGGTTCTGCTGAACTGTGGCTGTATTTGATATGTTGCAGTCAGTGTTCAAGCCAACAATGTTTGGCCCAGCTTGTTGAGCTGGGTGATGCTTGTAAGGTCATCCAATTCAGTAGGAAACTGGAGCCATCTATTTGGGCCTTTAGAGTACCAAATAATCCATCACTATACTGGCGGCCACTATGGCCTTCAAGCTTTGGGTTGGGGCAGAGCGAATGGCTTTCAGAAGTCTGCACACATAAATTTCATACTGGAAGACAGAGGTACAGAGTCTCCTAATCCCTCCCTTCCTTCCTTCTTCACAGCATTAAAATTATTATTTTATATTATATTTATTGTTATATTTCAGGTGCTCTCTAAGGCAGAACACCATGTGAAGATCACTATTTAATCAAGATATCCATTCACTGAAAGAAATCAATACATGTATTTTTCTGTTGCAATAGATTTTCTTGTAAATTAGTAGCACACCACAGAGAGTAGGTTACATCCGAGTATCAAAGAAACAGTATAGTAGCTTTTAGCAGTTACAAATAGGGACATTAAAGTGATGGTAAAGGTAACTTTTTTTAATAAATAATAACAAAAATGTCACACTTACCTGTTCTGTGCAGTGGTTTTGCACAGAACAGCCCCGATTCTCCTCTTTTGCGGTCCCCCCGCCGCTCTCCTAGCATCTCCCCCTTGCCAAGTGCCCCCACAGCAAACCGCATGCTATGGGGGCACTCATGCTGCGGGTTCACTCCTGAGCCATAAGACACACAGAGCACAGCTTAGCCCCACGCCTCGCTACATCCTCACTGGCTGTGACTGACAGCAGGGGGAAGCCAATGGCTCCTGCTTCTGTGTCTGAGCCAATGAGGAGGGAGAGATCCAGGAGAGCCGCTGCTCCAGTGCACAGCGCTGGATTGAGATCAGGTAAGTATTGTGGGGGCTTGGGGTATTGGGGGGGGTGCTGAACACTGAAGGTTTTTATTACTGTCATGCCTAGAATGCATGAAGGGAAAATAAACCTTCAGCCTTTAGAACCAGTTTAAGGCATATAGTCACTTATTCACAGCATGCATATCTCAACTGATTATTTTTTTTTTGTAGGGCAATACAGTAAACCTGTATTCATCACAGACATACAAAGACTGTTGAATGGTCAGCGGATGGGAAAGCAAAGAAATAAGAGAAGCAAGTGCAGAGGGAGGTAGTTGCCCAGGAAGACTTCATCCCAATACCACATCATTCAATGACTTGCTAAATAATCAGCATATGTGCAAGTGCTAGAATTTCTTTTTTTAACCCCTTGATGCCGACCGCACGCAAATTAGCGGCTTCACAGAACTGGGCTTTTTTTCCGTGGAGCCGCTAATTTGCGTATCTGCCTTCCTGCTGGGAGCGCGCTGCACGGCGCACTCCCAGCACAAAGACTGGGGTGTCACTGACAGCCCCGGACCCTGTTCCAACAATTGGGACCAGAAACTCCCAATTCCGGGTCACCTGATCGCTTTGATAGCCAATGATTGGCTGTCACAGTGATCAGTTACTGTGAAGCCCGCCCCCCTTGTTTTCTCTCTCTGAATAGAGTAGAGAGATATATTGTATCTCTCTCTGTCCTTTCAGAGAAAAAAAAAAAAGTGTGTGTAAAAAAATAATTAAATAAATATAATTTAAAAATAAACAAAAATACCCAGCTCAAGGTTTGATCTAGGTCTGTGCCAGGGTTAAGGTCAGGTTCAGTTTCTGTTTTTTTAATTTTTAAATTGGTATCAGTGTCAGAATAAATTTAAAAAAAAAAGAGCAAATTGTGAACTATGGTTTCTGGCCTGTACTACGGGTACAAACAACAAGTAACAAACACACATGTGAGATCACTGCGATTGTCAGGAGCAGGAAAAATTATCTTGGGTTGTTCTTTGGTGGTAGGTTATGGTAGTAGAAATATACAGCTATATTAAAAAAAAAAGAATCAGGACAAGAATCCTTTTGTAATGAAAAAAAAAAAATCAGGACATATCCATTACAATTTACCACTAAAAGAAATCCCAATGTGTCCTGAAAAAAAACAAGGTATAATTCACCTGGATTCACAAAGTAGTTGTGATGTTATGTACGCTTTTGCTAACATGTCAAAGTTGTAAAATTGTGCTTAGGCGTTAAGATTTGTTTTACCTTTAGGCGTGAAGGGGTTAATTGCTTCCTGTAAACAGGAGCTAAAATTAAAGCAAAAAGGCCATCAGTGTGAGCAATTCAGGATCTACTCAGCTGTACTATGCTTCTAACCCAACACTGAAACAAAAGGGAGCACAGTGGTAATCTCGGCAGTGGGGTGATAATCCCTCATTGTCCAATCAGCAGACTGGTGGTTGGGAGGTGACAAAGCTGCACTGAGGTGACTGAGGTGTACAAAAGTGAGGCCATGGACCTGGCTTTTCTGTCTGGTAGGAGAATCTGGATCACTGAACTGGCTGGACGTGTACATGCATTTTAACTGTGTATTTTGTTGTTTGGAGAGAAGCGTTCATTCGAGGCTGGAAGGTACACAAATAAACAACTTAACATACAATATAAATAAGCACCTTTTTCTTTTCACAAGGTCTAAGCTTTATAATATCTTCATCGGTTAGAGCTCCTGATGTCACTGATACAGTTTTCATTTCTCCATCATCTGAAACCTGTTTAGCACAATCAGTGCTGGAAGGAGCAGTCTGTTGATGACCCGAGCTGGTCGTTGTCACACTGAGAGCTGCTGGAGAAGGCTCAGCACTACCTTCAACCTTCGTAGGTTTTTGGGATTTGTTGAAATGCTTCAGGAACTTGTCAGCTTTGTCAAACTGAACCTTCCTCTTCCGCAGCTGCATCTGGAGATCTTTGTTCAGGCCGTTCCTAACCAGGGCTTTGCCTTCCCACTGCTTGACCAGTTCCTGGTTAATGAGGTTCTTGAAATCCTCTCCCAAATGGGATTTGGCAAAGCGGCATGAGACACCGTAGATGCATTTGCCGAATGTTTCATAGAGGTGACACCTGGGACCAATATCTTCCAGCTTCTCTGACAGATATTTCTTCACATCGTGTAAAAACTTACATTTCTCACCAAAGAAGCATTTGCTGGCACATTCCTGGTTTCAGAAAGAAATGGGCAGTGTTATGGCACAATCCATTTTATATAGAGAATAATAAAATCACATCAGGCCAATTAATGAATGCTGGAGCTTTTACTACAGGAGAAAACTGGAACATATGGGGGAGATTTACTAAAACTGGAGCCAATCAGCTTATAACACCGTCTTGTTAAATTATGCTTTGGCAATAAAACCTGGAAGCTGATTGGTTTGTATGCAAAGCTGTACCATATTTTGCTCACTCCAGTTTGAGTAAATAACCCACTTTGTTTCATCAACTTTCTTAGAGAGCTGAAGAGAGCTGTCACCAGACCATTCATTTCAACACCAATTTTCCCATAATATTATATTTGCATTTACTGTATTTTATGGATGTTATTTACCTCTAAAAGCTTCCCTAGTGTAGACATGCAAAAGCTCTGAGATTGCTGAGGGGTGCCGCCATCTTGGATGTAATTATCAGCAGCCCCAGCAGACTCGGAGCTGCCACTCAACTGACACTCTACAGCAGCGGTTCTCAACCTGGGGGTCGAACGACGCTTCCACAGGGGTCGCCTAAGACCATCGGAAAACACATATTTCCGATGGTCTTAGGAACCGAGACACCGCTCCTCGCCGCCGCCGCCGCCGTCTCCAGGTGTGGGCGGGATGACATGCCGCCCCTGTCATCTGGACACACCTCGAGATCAATCCTTGCCTGTGATTGGCCGCCGGCACTGTAGCTCAGGAGAGGCACACAGGCGGCCAATCACTGGCAAGGAGGTGGAGCTTGGAGAGGAGGAGCCGAGCGGCACCGCGAAGATGGAGCGAGTGAAGAGGAGGAGAGCGGCCGGAGAAGGAAGACAGCTGACAGGTAAGTGTGTACCATGGGAGAGGGAGGGAGCGAGCGAGCCCAGGCTGGAGCAGGGGTCAGCAAGGTAAGTATCATTGGTGTCAGTGGGAATAGTGCCCCATCATTGGTGTCACTAATACCAATAATGGGGCACTATTCCTCCCACTGACACCAACGATGGGGCACTATTCCTCCCACTGACACCAACGATGGGGCACTATTCTCCCACTCCCACTAACACCAACGATGGGGCACTATTCCTCCCCCAAGTGACACCAACGATGGGGCACTATTCCTCCCCCCACTGACACCAAGGATGGGGCACGATTCCTCCCCCCACTGACACCAAGGATGGGGCACGATTCCTCCCCCCACTGACACCAAGGATGGGGCACGATTCCTCCCCCCACTGACACCAAGGATGGGGCAGTATTCCTCCCCCCACTGACACCAAGGATGGGGCAGTATTCCTCCCCCCACTGACACCAAGGATGGGGCAGTATTCCTCCCCCCACTGACACCAAGGATGGGGCAGTATTCCTCCCCCCACTGACACCAAGGATGGGGCAGTATTCCTCCCCCCACTGACACCAAGGATGGGGCAGTATTCCTCCCCCCACTGACACCAAGGATGGGGCACTATTCCTCCCCCCACTGACACCAAGGATGGGGCACTATTCCTCCCCCCACTGACACCAAGGATGGGGCACTATTCCTCCCCCCACTGACACCAAGGATGGGGCACTATTCCTCCCCCCACTGACACCAAGGATGGGGCACTATTCCTCCCCCCACTGACACCAACGATGGGGCACTATTCCTCCCCCCCACTGACACCAACGATGGGGCACTATTCCTCCCACTGACACCAACGATGGGGCACTATTCCTCCCCCAAGTGACACCAACGATGGGGCACTATTCCTCCCCCACTGACACCAAGGATGGGGCACGATTCCTCCCCCCACTGACACCAAGGATGGGGCACGATTCCTCCCCCCACTGACACCAAGGATGGGGCAGTATTCCTCCCCCCACTGACACCTATGATGGGGCACTATTCCTCCCCCCACTGACACCTATGATGGGGCACTATTCCTCCCCCCACTGACACCTATGATGGGGCACTATTCCTCCCCCCACTGACACCTATGATGGGGCACTATTCCTCCCCCCACTGACACCAATGATGGGGCACTATTCCTCCTCCCACTGACACCTATGATGGGGCACTATTCCTCCCACCGACACCAATGATGGGGCACTATTCCTCCCACCAATACCAATGATGGAGCACTATTCCTTCCACTGACACCAATGATGAGGCACTATTCCTCCTACTGACACCAATGATGAGGCACTATTCCTCCCACTGATACCAATGATGGGACACTATTCCTCCCACTGATACCAATGATGGAGCACTATTCCTTCCACTGACACCAATGATGAGGCACTATTCCTCCTACTGACACCAATGATGAGAGCACTATTCCTCCCACTGATACCAATGATGGGACACTATTCCTCCCACTGATACCAATGATGGGGCACTATTCCTCCCACTGATACCAATGATGGAGCACTATTCCTTCCCACTGACACCAATGATGAGGCACTATTCCTCCTACTGACACCAATGATGGGGCACTATTCCTCCCACTGATACCAATGATGGGGCACTATTCCTCCCACTGATACCAATGATGGGGCACTATTCCTCCCACTGACACCAATGATGGGGCACTATTCCTCCCACTGACACCAATGATGGGGCACTATTCCTCCCACTGACACCAATGATGGGGCACTATTCCTCCCACTGACACCAATGATGGGGCACTATTCCTCCCACTGACACCAATGATGGGGCACTATTCCTCCCACTGACACCAATGATGGGGCACTATTCCTCCCACTGATACCAATGATGGAGCACTATTCCTCCCACTGATACCAATGATGGAGCACTATTCCTCCCACTGACACCAATGATGGGACACTATTCCTCCCACCGACACCAATGATGGGGCACTATTCCTCCCACCGACACCAATGATGGGGCACTATTCCTCCCACAGACACCTATGATGGGGCACTATTCCTCCCACTGATACCAATGATGGAGCACTATTCCTTCCACTGACACCAATGATGAGGCACTATTCCTCCTACTGACACCAATGATGGGGCACTATTCCTCCCACTGATACCAATGATGGGGCACTATTCCTCCTACTGACACCAATGATGAGGCACTATTCCTCCCACTGATACCAATGATGGGGCACTATTCCTCCCACTGATACCAATGATGGGACACACTATTCCTCCCACTGATACCAATGATGGGGCACTATTCCTCCCACTGACACCAATGATGGGACACTATTCCTCCCACTGATACCAATGATGGGACACTATTCCTCCCACTGATACCAATGATGGGGCACTATTCCTCCCACTGATACCAATGATGGGACACTATTCCTCCCACTGATACCAATGATGGGGCACTATTCCTCCCACTGACACCAATGATGGGACACTATTCCTCCCACTGATACCAATGATGAGGCACTATTCCTCCCACTGATACCAATGATGGGACACTATTCCTCCCACTGATACCAATGATGGGACACTATTCCTCCCACTGACACCAATGATGGGGCACTATTCCTCCCACTGATACCAATGATGGAGCACTATTCCTCCCACTGACACCAATGATGGGACACTATTCCTCCCACTGACACCAATGATGGGGCACTATTCCTCCCACTGATACCAATGATGGGGACACTATTCCTCCCACTGACACCAATGATGGGGCACTATTCCTCCCACTGACACCAATGATGGGGCTCTATTCCTCCCACTGACACCAATGACGAGGCACTATTCCTCCCACTGACACCAATGACGGGGCACTATTCCTCCCACTGATACCAATGACGGGGCACTATTCGTCCCACTGACACCAATGACGGGGCACTATTCCTCCCACTGACACCAATGACGGGGCACTATTCCTCCCACTGACACCAATGACGGGGCACTATTCCTCCCACTGACACCAATGACGGGGCACTATTCCTCCCACTGACACCAATGACGGGCACTATTCCTCCCACTGACACCAATGACGGGGCACTATTCCTCCCACTGATACAAATGACGGGGCACTATTCCTCCCACTGATACAAATGACGGGGCACTATTCCTCCCACTGACACCAATGACGTGGCACTATTCCTCCTACTGCAAAATTACAGTTATGAAGTAGCAACGAAAATAATTTTATGGTTGGGGGTCACCACAACATGAGGAACTGTATTAAGGGGTCGCGGTGTTAGAAAGGTTGAGAACCACTGCTCTACAGCATTTACTTAATTCCTCCCCTGACAGCTACATGAAAGGTTAGGTAAGGAAGTGTAGGGGTGGAGAAGCTCCGCCAGCATATAGTAATCAGAAATTCCTAGGTGAAGAGATGATGGGAGGAAAGAGGGGGCCGTGCTAGGGCACAGACCATTCAAATTCTCAGGCACATTGCAAGCGAACACAAAATCAATTATGGAAAGAAAAAAACACTAAGTAACCACGAGTCAAACAATTGGCCCCAGGTGTCAGAATCTCCCCAAGATCCCTGTTCCTAAGGGAGGACTGCACCTGGCAGGCCTCTGCCACTTAGCATGAGCCCCGACAGAGAAAATAAACTGAAGTTGTGATCCTGTCTGGCCGAAGGAAACACATATTACTGAGGGAACAGAGGGGATGAGTGTAGCTGTCTCAGAAGATGACCTGGGAAATATTTGCTTTTTCTGGGCTTTAACCTAAAATGTCTGAAGTTGGTGACAGGGTCTCTTTAACGTCTAACTCCTGACAGCTTCTGTTTTAGTTCTGGATAGAGTAGGGAAGAGTTTGGCTCTGTGTCAAGTCTTTACTGTTGCCCTTGTCCTCACTTAAGAAATTTATCTAAGGAACACTCTGACAAGAAATTTGTGGTAAGGTAGGTCACTGAGACAGACAGCAACCAAAAAATAAAAGGGTTAAAAAAAGGTTCCTCACTGCACTTGCTATTTGCTGTCTCTCTCCCCCCACTAGTGAGCTCTCTCATCACTCCCTCTTCCTCTGACTTCATTTTCACTGGGACAGGATGTGAAGGTAAATCTCCCCCACAGACAATAAATATTGTAAAAACAAAAGTTTTGGCTGGACTTGGCCTTTTTGCTAAAGTGGCAGTTACAGGGTTGGGAAAAACATATAACACCAGTGGGGGTACCTAAAAAGGTCAACTTTTAGTAATGCTACTTAAATCTTTCTTCTCAAAACTGTTAAGTACCTGCTTACAAGTGTTACCTGAAAATGGGCTATAATTTGTTTTTCTTTTCTCCATTTAAAAATACATGTCCATTGGAGACCACGCTGTCCAGAAAGTGACAGTGTTGCTGCAGGATTTTACCACAGAAGGAACAGCATTGTCACCCTATTATAGGAAGTGAAAACACTGCAGATCTGCTGGAAGGATCAACAAGTTTATGTTATATATCCTCTTAGATTGTAAACTCTAACGAGCAAGGCCTTCTGATTCCTTTTGTACCAAATTGTATTGTAACTGTAATGTCTGCCTCGTTTTGTAAAGTGCTGCGCAAACTGTTGGTGCTTTATAAATTCTGTATAATAATAAAAACAACAATATACTCAAGCAGGGGCAGACTGGCAACTCATGGGGCCCCTGGGCAATAGGGGATCATGGGGCCCCTGTGTCCTTGCCCAAACTCAAAAAAGCCTATGAAAAAGGTACCAGGGGCATCTCATGGGCCCCCCTACTGACCCCGGGCCCTCAGGCACTGCCCGAGTTTCCAAATGGTCAGTCCACCCCTGTACTCAAGTCTCACAGGTGAAAGGTGCTCGGGAAAGACGAAATTGGCAATTAGAGGGCAAGAAGGTACATCCAATGAAAATCTTGACTCACTTTAGCATCCTACATATGAAACACTTTACAGGAGTAAAGAACAAATCTAATTAAGAAGTTGGATGCAGATTTAAAATGGAAAAAAGTAAAAAAAAAAATATTATTTAACCTGCTCACAGCAATGAAACCCACATCTAGTTACAATGTTAATCCTCAGCACCCGCCCAAGAATATGTTATTTGTGTGTCTACACAACCCCTTTGTGACTGTAAAAGCTATGCCCTAAAATACTTCAAAGTTTCTAGGGTGTATCTCCAACGTCCTCCTCTCCCCTGCAAACGGTCACCCCACCTCTATTATCAACAATTACCAACTGTCAATATGACAGCCAGGAATTGCTAAGTATAACACAGCAAGAGCAGCTGTCAAAATGAAGATAGTCTGCAAGTATCATTTAGTAATACAGTGTAACAATGCATTGTTACATTGTATTTACCATTTCATTCCTGCCTAAATAAAAGGTGGGACCTTTGATTTGCTTATTTGTTTTTTTAAATAAAATGTATTCTTAATTCAGTCTCCTCCTCCAAAATACTGTAGCTGCTGTTTTTTAATATAAGGACATTTACCTGTCCAGGGATCCAGCAGTGCACTCATCCGAGCCAATTCTTCAATCGGCTTTGGGTCCAGGAGCTGGCATCTTAACTATGGGAAACATGAAGTGAAGTCTTGTGGCTTGACTATACCACTGCGCATGTGCAAACCACGTGAATCGTCCTGCAGTTTTCTGGTACCTGTGATGTGTCCCCAGAAAACTGCGGGGGAAAGAGTGGAGTTGAACTTCCACTTGGATCGCCGAGGCAATCCGACCGAAGGTGGAAGCAGGTACCTGTCCAAACCATGTACCTACTCTCCCCCTCCAAAAAGTGTCAAATGTTAAAGGAGGGGGGAGGATGCAGATAAGCGGAACTTCCCATTTTGGGTGAAGTTTTGCTTTATCTCCTCATTAATCCTTAGATAACCCAAATCAGTACTAATTAACTCCTTCTGCCCCATCTTCAACTATCTTGCTGTAATTTGTTTACTATTAATTTTTATACTTTTCATTATTACTTGTTTGGTTTATTTTTTCATTGCTGCATGACAAAATGCACAATATTTGTACTACTTTACCATGTTTTGTACCAGAATTATATTTTTAGTGCAATTTTAAACAGTACACATTACAGAACAAAATGTATACTATTCACAGTAAAATGATTTTCTTTTATCTCACCTGTGTGACTGATGGACACAACCGTTGCTGTTCATACTGATTATATTTCACATGAGGGCGACTTTTGTTCTGGCCTCTGGCTCTTTTCTTCTCTGTCTTGTCCTCTGCAGTCTTATTCTGCTCTTCCCTCTCCTTTGCAGAATCATCCAGTTTAATCTGTTTTGCAACAGGTTCATCCGTGAAATGATTACTGTCATCATTCTCTCCGGCTCTGTTACTCTGCTCTTCCGTAACTTCTTTACCATCAGCATCAAGGTATTCATGGAAGTGCTCCTTGGTAGTTAAATATCTGCAGATAGAAAACAAAAAATCCTAGTATCACAGGGATACACATTTTAAGGGAAGGGCTACTATAGCTCTCAAGGTGAACCACTATAGATAAAGAAAACAAATACTTTCTTATATGGCAACCTTGGAATGACTGTATTCTGTATCTGTGATAAAATGGAGGAATTACTCTTAGTAACTGCCCCTAATATGTTTGTTAGTGTGGTCTGATTTTGGAATTCCTTTTTACAAGCAGCAGAGTGAACAGTGTTCCCAGGAACAGACTCCCATTCCTCCTCAATCTGAGACTTTGCACAACAGAAGACTGAGTTGTCCAAAGGTAAACAGTAATTGTGATCTGGGGCTATAAAAGGCATTACACCAGTGTTTCTGCTCACTTTCTCCTTTCCAGGAGTGCCAGAAATTGTACCAGTTTAGCTGCAGCATCCTTCTTCCCAGTAACATAACAACCAGCACTGTTTTAGGCAGACTGTCTGCTGCTGTGGAGTCCTTTTTGTTATTGTTTGTGCTGGACATCCCAAGGGGGCAATGTAATGTATTGTCGCTGGTGGGTTAGGGCAAAGTTCTGGAGCCTGTAAAGGGGTTTCAGCACGGTGGTGAATTGGTGTGGGAGTTGTTTGCTTCATGTCCAGCTACAGTACCTTGAAAAAGTATTCATACCCCTTGAAATTTTCCACATTTTGTCATGTTACAATCAACAACATAAATGTATTTTATTGGGATTTGATGTGATAGACCAACACAAAGTGGCACATAATTGTTAAGTGGAATGATAATGATAAATGGTTTTCAAATTTTTTTACAAATAAATATGTGAAAAGTTTCGTGTGCATTTATATTCAGGCCCCCCGAGTCAATACTTTGTAGAACCCCCTTTCACTACAATTACAAGTCTTTTTGGGGATGTCTCTACCAGCTTTGCACATCTAGAGAGGGACATGTTTGTCCATTCTTCTTTGCAAAATACCTCAAGCTCTGTCAGATTGGATGGAGAGCGTCTGTGAACAGCAATTTCCAAGTCTTGCCACAGATTCTCAATTGGCTTTAGGTCTGGACTTTGACTGGGCCATTCTAACACATGAATATGCTTTGATCTAAACCATTCCATAGTAGCTCTGGCTGTATGTTTAGGGTCGCTGTCCTGCTGGAAGGTGAACCTTCGCCCCAGTCTTAAGTCTTTTGCAGACTCTATTAGGTTTTCTTCTAAGATTGCCCTGTATTTGGCTCCATCCATCTTCCCATCAACTCTAACAAGATTCCCTGAAGATAAGAACTCCCAAAACCTGATGCTACCACCACCATATTTCACGGTGCGGATGGTGTGTTCACGGTGATGTGCAGTGTTAGTTTTCCGCCACACATAGCTTGTTGCTGTTTAGGCCTAAAAGTTCAATTTTGGTCTCATCTGACCTGAACACCTTCTTCCACGTTTTCTGTGTCCCCCATATAGCTTTTCGCAAACAGTAAACGGGACTTCTTATGGATATCTTCTTGCTACTCTTCCATAATGGCCAGGTTTATGGAGTGCACAACTAATAGTTGTCCTGTGGACAGATTCTCCCACCTGAGCTGTGGATCTCTGCAGCTCCTCCAGAGTTACCATGGGCTCTTGGCTGCTTCTCCGATTAATGATCTCCTTGCCCGGCCTGTCAGTTTAGGTGGATGGCCATGTCTTGTTAGGTTTGCGGTTGTGCCACACTCTTCCATTTTGAGATGATGGATTCAACAGTGCTCCGTGAGATGTTCAAAGCTTGGGATATTTTTTTTATAATGTACCGCTGCTTTAAACTTCTCCACAACTTCATCCCTGACCTGTCTGGTGTGTTCCATGGCCTTCATGATGCTGTTCATTCACTTTTCTCTAACAAACCTCTGAGGACTTCACAGAACAGCTGTATTTATACTGAGATTAAATTACATACAGGTGGACTCTATTTACTAATTAGGTGATTTCTGAAAGCAGTTGGTTCCAATAGATTTTAGTTAAAGAGTAAACGGGGCTGAATACAAATGCACACCACACTTCACATAATTGTAAAAAAAAAAACTTTGAAAACCATTTATCATTTCCTTCCACTTCACAATTATGTGCCACTTTGAGTTGGTCTATCACATAAAATCCCAATAAAATACATTTACGTTTTTGGTTGTAACGTGACTAAATGTGGAAAATTTCAAGGGGTATGATTACTTTTTCAAAGCACTGTATATGCATGTTCAGTCATGCCCTCTTGGATTGACTATACTCACCCACATATGAATTTAAGCCACATCAGCTCCCTATAAGAGGCTCACAGTTTTCCCTGTTGTTGCAGAAAAAGAGAGTTGCCTCTCACTGTTTTTTTATTTTCTATACCTCATGCGAATGTCCTGATCACTGCCATAGCCCACACCAGCGTCCTGATCACTGCCATACGTCATACTAGCATCCTGATCACTGCCATACGTCATATCAACTAACAACCTAACTCACCTAACAACTAACCTCCTCCACTCCTCCCGCCACTCCATCCCCCCCACAGCCATTTCCTCCTGTACCACCTTCCCCTCCCTCCTAGATTGTAAGCTCAAAAGAGCAGGGCCCTCGAACCCCTCGTGTATTGTATTGTTACCGTCTTGTCTCATGTTCTGTCCCCCTTGCTACTGTACAGCGCTGAGCATACCCTTTGGCGCTATATACTGTATAATAATAATAATAGCATTCAGCTTTTTAGGGTCTCAACTGATCGATTTTCAAATATATATCCCATAGTTTGTAGACTCTATAGCTTCCTCACAGACTAAATATTATACACGGTATTGGGTTATTTTTTACCCCACAAATGTAGCGGAATACCATTTAGCCTAAATTTATGTAAAAAAAATAATTTGCAAAATTGTATAACAAAACCTAAGCAAAAAAAATACTTTTTTTTTCATTTTAATTTTTTTCATTTATATAGCAAAAAATTAAAAAAAACAGTGGTGATCAAATACCATCAAAAGAAAGCTCTGTCTTAAAAAATTATAAACACTTCATATGGGTACAATGTCACATGACTGAGTAATTGTCAGTCAAAGTGTGACAGCGCTGAAAGCAGAAAATTTGCCTGGACTGAAAGTGTCCGGACTTGAAGTGGTTAAATTCTTGACCTGCACTGGGAACCTTCTTTTTCTATGCACCAGATTTAATAACCTAGCCGCACAAAGTGATTGGGAGATTGGCAGTGTTGCCCATACCAACCTTATCTAGATTTTTTATTATCCATCCTGCAACAAAAAACAATAACCACCTAGATCTTCCCAGCCCAACTAATTACATAAACCTCATCAATACTTACTGAGGTTTAATAGGAGCAACACCTCGGTCAGTATCTTCAGATATGGCAACCGCTTTGACATTTTCACTGTTTTGTTTGTCTTCATCTGCCATTCTGGAAAACAGTAATAGGTGTAATTAACAAAGGCCCCCAAGGCTATTTAGGAGTTCAAAGCTAACCCTTAATCCTCGGGGTTATGTGAAGTGACTCGGTGGCTAGGTTCACACAGGAGGAACTCTATCAAACAGATAAAGAAGCCGGCAACTCCAAAATCCATGTAATAATTTTTATTGAATGTACAGGAATGACATAAAAGCACACAGATGCGTTTTGGCACACAGCCTTGTTTACAGTTTGATACTACATGCAAAACAGGACGTAATACAAAAAGTTCCACTCAAAAAGATGGATGGGTTCACAATGCATATACTCAACCAATTAAACAAATTCCCAAAATAAAATTAAAAGAAAAAAAAAAAAAGATGAAACAAATTAGAACATGGAAAGTATATCTTAGTGATGAAGATTGTATTAAACAGAAAATATATGTACACAATATTCTAACAAGCACAGCATTTTAATATACTTTTTTTGTCAAAAATCTGCATCCGATGTCCACAGGCAGGGATGGTTATGGGAGGTCAAAGGTATACAGCCTACAGGAAAAACAACACATTATAGTTCTTAAGGAGCTGAACTTAAAGAATTTTGGGTCACGTCAGTGGATTTCTATTTTTTTTTGTTTGATCGAGTATTTTACCTCCAGTGCGAAGGTGCTTTGATGGGGGGCAATATTTTCTCCATCCCTGCCCACCCTGTACATGGGTTGGTGGGAGGAGCTCTTTTTATTCTCCCACTTGAACCCATTTGCAGGTAATATTATACGTTACGATAGATACATCGATGACCTGGTGATGGTCTGGAGTGATGTGGATGAGACCCTTATTTCCTTTGTTTCCTTTATCAACAGTAACGATCTTAACCTAGAATTCAATTTCGAGTGGTTCAGAAAGTATTAACATTTTTGATATGTTCCTGAGCAGTCATGCCACGGGCACTGGTAATACACGTACCTTTCGCAAGGAGTATACAATTAACTCCCTCCTCCTTGCATCGAGCGGTCACCCTAGGCATACTCTTTGTTTCAAGTTTTTTTTTTTTTCTTTTAATTGCAAATTTGTTTAATTGGTTGAGTAAATGCATTGTGACCCCATCCTTATTTTTGGGTGGAACGTTTTGTATTTATATGTCCTGTTTTGCATATAGCATCAAGCTATGAACAAGGCCGTGTGCTGAAATGCGTCAGCTTACTTTTATGTCACTCCTGTACAATCAATAAAAATCATCACATGGATTTTGGAGTTGCTGGCTCTCTTTATCTGTTTGTATTGGATCCAATGGCTGAAGGATGCTATACAGCCTGAGCACCCAGGTTTTGATTCCCTCGTTTAATTATAGGTACGTTCCTCAGTGAGCGCTGCCTTTGTTTCCACTCTCTATCACCCCTCTGAGGTGGATCGCTTTCCAGATGCTGGTAGGGCAGCCGCTTCCAGGCATTTAGGAGGCAATACTGCTGATATCTGAATTCCTGGCTTTCCAGCGATTCAGCATGAAACTAACGCAATGCAAGCGCAGTTTGGTCCCGACAACTTCAATGGGCATGTGTAAGATCCCTTCAGGCAGCCTTGTTAGGCTTTCAGTGGGCAGTAAAAACATTGCAGGACAGCCTGTTTTTACCACCTATGTGAATGAGGCTTATGGATTGCTCACTAGATGAGCGAGGCATCATTACGTCCCCAACCCAAATGCTACAGAATGCAAGTCACCAGAGAGGAATCAACTTCTTACCCATATAGTTGGCAAGAGAGTGACACATGGAAGTAGGAGAGTATTTCTCCCACCTTATCGATCTGTTGCTGATCGGGTGTCACCAATAGCAGACTCGCTAGGTCACATGGCCTAAAAATGCTGTCCTGTGGATACTTGCTGCAAGAATCCTGGCTGTTAAGATCAGCAGGGGCCGCACAGTCTGTGTAACTGAATGACAGGCTGAAAGCAGCCATGCCTCCACTGCTGTAAGTTTGTATCCACACACCCAGCGGTTACCTGGGGTTAGGGACAGACGATCGGATCTTAAGGCAACCTATGTCTAGGGGCGGATATCGCCATGTGGTTTTGTGTGGTGCTTATTTAATATCTTTGAGAAAAGATATTAATAAATGTACATTTTTTTTTGCATGCAAAAATAAAATGTGCTTGTATCATTTTTTGTTGCAGAAGCCTGTAAAGCATTGCACAGCGATCAGCAGATTGCTAATGCCATGAAGGTCTGCAGACCTGTCAGTGTATCTGTGTACGGGATGTATGAGCAAGCAGATATACTGACAGGAAGAATCAATGAACTACCACAGCAGTCAACAGCACCGTGATAGTTCACTGAGAACTACAAGCCCACAGCCACTAAGGCTTGTAGTTTTCTCATTCACATTTTTAAAATTTTGACAGCTAGAGGGAAGACCCTGCTAGCTGTCAAAGTTGGGGAGTGGGGGCCAGTCCATTCATAACATGTTACACCAGGAATAGTTATTTATTTCAGGTACTTATATAGCGCCGTCAATTTACACAGCACTTTACATATATATTGTACATTCACATCAGTCCCTAACCCTCAAGGGGCGTACAATCTAAGGTCCCTAACTCACATTCATACATACACATAATAGGGACAATTTAGACAGGAGCCAATTAACCTACCAGCATGTTTTTGGAGTGTGGAAGGAAACCGGAGTACCCGGAGGAAACCCACACAGGCACAGGAAGAACATGCAAACTCCAGGCAGGCGGTGCCGTGGTTGGGATTCGAACCAACAACCCTAGTACTGCCAGGCAGAAATGCTTCCCATTTAACCACAGTTCTGCCTGAATATGTGTGTAACAAGTTATGAAAGGTGAACTTATCCTTTAAGGTGTGGAGACTTCCTTCCCTGCACTTCTCCTGGGTACAGCAGACCATTCAAAAGAGAAGGCTGCTACACCCATGATGTGCCCATGCAAATGCGACCCACACCTACTCTAAGGGGAATACCAACCATAAGTGTCAATGAGGCCTTAGATCCTAACCCACGTGTGTGATTCCGCCAGGAATCTGTCATCAATACAGACCACTCATTTGCAGTCAGGGCATTCCCTTCCCCATTTATACATGTGGTGGTGGTGGGAAATAGGCAAGCCGCAGGTGATTGGTCTGTACAGGTGACCCCTTATGTGTTCGCACACACGTGGGTTCAGATCCTAGTCCAAACATGCTTGCACTCAATGCTACTTAAAACTCCTGGAATTGTATTTATTGCTGCAGACCTTTGAGGATATTTCCCTTCACTTCCTGCCCTAAAGACACAACAGGAAATTAGACGAGATCTCCCAAACTGAGGGGCTCCTCCCTTTTAGGCAAACAACCCCAATTGGACATTTTGGGGCCAAGATTTGCATTTCCCTTGAGGTTCTTTTCTCAGTGATGGTTGTCACCAGTACAGGAAGTGGGATGAATCTCTGCAATGGGTGCACAGACAGCAATAAAATTCTGCTAAAGGATCCAATTTTTCCATACACCATTCAAAAAAAAATTGTTTTGCCTGGTGATACACTTGAGGCACACAAATCTATGAGATATTATTTGATGGGGAAGAATGCAGAGCCTACACATGATTATTGAGTCCTATAAACTCCCAATGCCAGCTGTGCAGCTCTGCTGCCAACATGAAACAGCAAAATCCCCCCCATGTCTGTGCCTGGCAATGAGCACAATGTAAACACACCGGATATATCACACAGAGTCCATTACATACGCAATATATCACACACAAGTCTATCACAGGCACAGAAAGGATCATACACACGTCTCTGCTACAATGTATCACCAATGCTCTCTCCACGTTGAGCCAGGAACAGGAAATCACATCGTTGCAACCCCCTTTGCACTCCCCCGTAGAGAACAGTGCACTCTTCAAAGCTGTCCGATGGGAAACAGAACATTCAAACATTAGGTTCCGATGTGTTATCACTACCAAGGTTTGAAAGCAAAGTGTCCCATGCAGACTGTCATGACTGTCCTCCTTAATAAATTCCAGGCTGTCTGGTTTTCTTTGGTTCCAATTCTTTGTTGGGTTGACTTACTAAATGCAAATAGACTGACAGTCTGCGTGTGCAGTAGCTCCTGAGCTTAGTATTGAGGGGAACCTCTGCTGACCTCTATCATCCAATCACATTTAAACATTACATGTGATTGGGTTTTTTATTACGTGTTTTAATGCTTTTTTAATGCATTTTGCATTTTTAGGATGTGTTTAATGTTGCCAGGGGGAGATGTCCGTTGTTATGCAGGAAACGCACAGAAAACACATGTACATGCGTTTCGCATGCGTTTTTGATGCACTTCCATTGGAGTCTATTACACGCAAAATGCAATCTGCTGCAGGAAAAAAAAAAAGTCACTGACCCTTTCAAAAATCTGCACCGGCTCAAAACGCATAGATGTGATATAGATCCATAGGAAATAATTTTAAATGGACTGTAGTGTGTTTCTGCAAACTGGAAAACGCACTGAAATCTGTAAACCTAGGGTTAGGGACTAGGAAGTTTCTGAAGCTGATGGATCAGTATGACAGCCAGGAAGTTAGTATCAGGAGGAGGATAAGTTCATCTTTTGAGCAAAAATAATAAATGCAAATTTTTTTTGTAAAAGTAAAACAAATGTGCATGTATTATTTTTTGCTGCAGTAGCCTGTAAAGCATTGCACCAAGGATCAGCAGACCACTGGTGCCATGCAGGTCTCCTGCAGACCTATCGGTGTATCTGCTTGCATATATATATATATATATAATATATATATATATATATACATTTTTTTTTTTTGCAGAGGCCCCAGAGAATAAAACTGTGTTGTTGCAATTGTTTTGGAAAAAATCCAATTTCACGAATTTTAAAAATAAACTATTAAAAAAAAAACCATTTATCTCATGCATTACAAAAAAAAAAAAAAGCAGCATTTACATCTGCTTAGCCAGAAGTGACGTCATGACGTTTGTCTGTGGCCTACTAGACCAGCCTTTCTCA